ATTCAGGGACAGCCCCATGGAGGCCATGCTTTCCACAAAGTCCCGAGGTGCCCCTTGTAAGGTTGTGTCGGCATGGATGCTAAAATCCCCCAGGACAACCAAACTAGGTGTCTCCAGGAGCACATCCACCACGACCTGAAGCAGCTCGGGCAAGGAATCCTTGGTGCAGTGGGGAGGTTGGTACACCAAAAGGAATCCTGTACTGCCCCTATTGCCCAACTTCCAGAACATGCACTCAGAAAACTGGGTCTTCCCAATAGGATGCCTGGTGCAAACTAATGACTTCCTAAAACTCACTGCAACCCCCACTCCCCGCCCATATGATCTGGGTTTCTGTGTATAATAGAAACTTGGTGGACAAGCAGTGGCAAGAACAGGCCCTTCTGCTTCATTCAACCAAGTCTCTGTTACACATGCCAGGTCAAGTCCTCCATCCCCAATTAAGTCATTGATTCCAGTATCCTTCCGGTCAAGGCCAGACCTGGAGGCAGGGATAGTCTTCAAACAACGACTAAACCCGCCTCCTTGGTAATGACATGGTCTGGTCTAGGTATAGCTCCTCCTCCTAAGCGTGATCACTGAGATCGGATGTCCCAGTGCATCCCCCCCGTGGAACCTGCCCCAGCCATTCTGTTGGCTGGGGCCCACTCCCAGGCAGCCCTGACCCTCTCCCCTTAAAAGCAAAACACAAACGATACTGAATAATAATAATAATTAGAAACTAATAATAATAAGAAAAACAATTTACAATTACATTAAAACTAAACCTATTCCCATTCCCACCCAAATGTCCACCCCACCCCGCAACAGAGAAAAACACACACACCAAAACCCCCACAGTTTAAAACACCACAGATAAAAATAAATTTAAAGGACGAGCCCTCTCTGCTGAGCAGCCGCCACAGTCCTTGTGAAGCCTAGCCTGTTGTTGTTGTTGTTGATAATGATGATGTCACCATAAATTTGTTCTTATGTGAACTTTCTGAAAACAATTTGAAAACTATATAACTAGGTAGAGCAACAAGGATACCTACCCCAGGGGCAGCATAGACTCAAAGGTTATGTATTATATTTCCATTTTTTAAAATAATATTGAAATTTCCCCCCAATAAAACAAAAAATCAGAAAACAATAACAAGTGGCTTTTGCATGAAAGTGTTGTCCCAGGAACAAATGCTTGTCCAATATGGAAATATTTCTTCCACTTTAAGTGATTAAGGGGGGAAACTACACTGAAGCAGAGTTAGGGTTGTGTTCAGTTCAGTTTTATTTGGAGTAACTCATTAAAATCAATTATGTTTATTACTTTTAAGGTGTCAGTTCTAAGTAGGACTTACCATGCATACAACACAAACATTTTACATTCCCAGTGATATTAATAATAACTCACAATTTGAATTCGATATATTATGCAATGCTAAAATGCAATACAGTGGTGCCCCGCAAGACGAATGCCTCGCAAGACGGAAAACTCGCTAGACGAAAGAGTTTTCCGTTTTGGAGGTGCCTCGCAAAACGAATCTGCTATGGGCTTGCTTCGCAAGATGAAAATGTCTTGCGAGTTCCTGGGTTTTTTTTTCCCTTTTCCTCCTCTTTTTCTAAGTCGCTAAGCAGCTTATCAGCTTATCAGATAAGCAGATAAGCGGCTTAGCCGCTAAAAGCCGCTAAAAGCCGCTAAAAGCCGCTAATAGCGCTAATAGCGCTAATCCGCTAATCCCGTCAATGGGCTTGCTTCGCAAGACGAAAAAACCGCTAGACGAAGAGACTCCCAGAACGGATTCTTTTCGTCTTGCGAGGCACCACTGTACAGTGAAAATAAAGCGGGAAATGATGTAAGTTTTATGTTAAATTATTCCATAATTTAACACAAGTAAGCAGCAGGGTTATCAGTGAAAAGGAAGCATGGTGTTCTTGCTTGAAATCTTCCAGTAAAACAGCTTCCTCAGGGCAGCTTTGACATCCTTATTCCTCATGCTGTAGATTACTGGGTTCATCATTGGAGGAACCACAGAATATATCACAGCAAGCATCTGGTCCAGCTTGTATGAAGAGATGGAGGCTGGCATGAGATAAGTAAAAAGAATGGTGCCAACTAAGACAGAGAGAACAATGAGATGGGGAATGCAAGTGGAGAAGGCTTTTTGCCTGTTTGCCATGGACTGCATGCTCAACACTGTGCTGAAGATCTGCACATAGGTCAAGATGATGAACACAAAGCAGCCAATACCTAATGCGCAACTGAAGAGCAGTGTCCAAATTTCATTGAGGTATGAATCAGCGCATGAGATCTTCATTAGGTGTGGGATTTCACAAAAGAACTGATTGATAACGTTGGAACAGAAGGGCAGTGAAAATATAGTGCCAGTATGCACAGCAGCATTAAGCAAACCTGCCATCCACGATCCGCCTGCCAGTTGGATGCATCTTCCCCACTTCATCACAGATGCATAATGTAGTGGGTGGCAGATGGCCACATATCGGTCATAGGCCATGACTGTGAGGAGGAAGACATCCGATGACAGGGGAAAAACAAAGGAAAGCATTTGTGTCACGCATTCAGAATATGAAATCAATGTTGAGTTCATGAGCGCATTGGCCATTGATTTGGGAATAATGACAGAGGTGGAGCCAAGTTCTCCTATCGATAAATTGACAAGGAAGAAATACATTGGGGTCTGAAGGTTGGTGTTGAGGGCTACTAGAATTATGAGAATCAGATTTCCTGTAAGGATAACCAGATACATTGCTGAGAAGATTGCAAACTGTAAAAGTTGAAACTCTCGTTGGTTAGAAAATCCCAGAAGCAGGAAATCATTGATTATTGTTATATTAGACATTACTTCTCCCTCATGCTCAAGAGGTACAGTAGCACAGATTACCAGTCATCAGAAGCCAGGAATCGAAACCTATAGAATGGGGGGGGGGATACCATTAATCTTCATAAATATTAACTTATATTGCCTGAACATTCAATACTGCATTTCTTTAAAGTGTGTTCTCGCTACAAAACAGCAACATCAGAATAGCCAGGTATACTCCTAAGAAGCTCACAAAGTGCAAAATTTGCCATTCTTGGTCCCTCGAAATTTCCAGTAGTAGAAAATTGTTAATGTTCATTCTAAAGTCTTATTTTTTCATTAATGTTAGAATTATAGTTACTGCCATGTATGATATTTTTTATTACTTTATTGTTAAATGAATGATATCACAATTTCAGTTTTCCCAATGTAGTTTTTTACTGGATCCAAACAAATTTTGCGCCAACAGAAAGGCACTTCCACTAATAAGTCCCCAACCACCTGCAGCCAACTTGAGTCTCTTCACATTTGATTTCTAAGGGTCCTTCAGTACAGAGAGTTCAGGGGTTTGCAGTGAGGAAAACAACCTAAGAAAGCCCTACTGTACAGGCACAGATCTCCTCACACTTTCCTGGTTTCAGACTTTAGTCTATAAAGCAATACTCAGACATCAGGTTAACAGAATGCCTGTTGTGTTTTGGTGCTAAGAAAATACCCTGAAGCTAAACTGGTTTCGCTATGAACACTACCTGGATGGCAGAGTGTCACTGAACCATATGTTCGCCACCCTGAGATCTTTTCAAAGGCAAAAGTGTCATGAATAAATAAAATTGCAAAGGCTTGGGACCCATGTTGTGAGGAGCCCCTTCCAACAAAGTGGCTTCTCAAGGGTCACAGACTGATACAAGGAGAATGGAAGGAGCGGAAACATTTATTCTGGAAACTTATTCATTTTATTTATCTTGGGGATCCAAGTCAATACGATTCTTGTGAGTTTACTTTACCGTATTGTCCTAAGCTGCAGGTGATTCCTTAAAGTCCTGACTCACTAGCTATTATCTCTGTTCCCATTCTTGCCTCATCAGTCTAACATGCAATGTATCAGCTTCGGAAAGAAATAGCATAAATCCCATACTGTGTACAGGGTTTAAAAGAACAGTAGAAGAAGTTGTTCGGAGAGGAGGAGTATGTCTGATGAGGGACACATCATGCTCCTTTCTGGAGTAGTTTCTCCACCTTTGGTCCCCACCATGCACTCAGTTCTCACCTGTGGCTCTTAGAAGCTGTCTCCTCACATTTCATGCCAGTATGAGAGATCCATCGCTGTCTCTCCTCTGTTAGATTCACAGCTCCTTTTGCTTCACAGGTGCATGTTAGAGGAAAAGGTTATTTAAAGAAGCACTGAGAGAGAAAGATGAATGTGATAGTGGAAATATATAGCTGACCTCTATTCGTTGCTAAAGATTAGCTCCCTCTTTCTCTGAATAGCATGGCACTAACAGCCCGGAGGCACTGCCAAAAAAACAGAAGCAAAAGACCAAAGTTTACAATCTAAGGCTCTCTCTCATCATGAATTGCTGATACTGTCTACCTTTCTCATACTATCTTTCTCATGCTGCATGCACAGTGAGACCCAGGCAAGGATTCCTCTTCTGTTTCTTATCATACCCATATGGAATGGGGGCAGGGGAACTGCAGTGTTTAAGTAATTAAGGGAATTAATTCAACAGTGACATTGTTGCAGAGGCTGATGCAGTGGCAGCTCCTAAGAATCCTTGCTAGGCATTGGGGAAATCCCTTCACCATTAGGGAAGCATTGATAGGCAAAACACCACCGTTAGTAGACAGGATCCCTCAAATTGTGGATAACCATATAACTGCAGCATGCATACACTACATGTCCAGCATATGGAAGAGTCCTACTTAAAAGCAGTTCCCACCCATCCTATATATCTCCCCACGGAGGTTGACACTTCATGCAAGCTTATGCCACAATAAATTTCTGAATGTTAAAAGTGCCAAGAGGTTTTTGTGGGTGTGTGGGCAGACGAGATGCTCCTTGACCATGAAAATTATACACCATTATACCGGTGCGGGACTTGATATTAATGGAAAACATTCACTCACAAGTTTGAAAACCAAAGAAATAACACAAATCAGAAAAGTTTTTTAAAACATGTTTCTGCTTTATTTTCTATTCGACTTCAAAAGAACATGGCTATAGCCCACCAGTCATGAAAACATTTTGGAAGGTATTTGTATTTGAAAGAGAAATATTCATATCTGAAAAGCACTGGGACTGTTCTCAGTGGAAGGCTCTTTTTTCCCCTTTCTTGTGTTTATTATGTAAATGATAGATGAACCTCTTTAAAAAGACAATGAAAAACTCACACTAACTCTATTTTGGTTCAACTTTAGGCACTGCACGTGTCTACCAATGTTCTTTCTTCAGCAGAGCACTGTGATCTTTTTTTAAGCTATGGGGGCACATCATGACCTCACACAGGTGCACTACAATCCTGTTACAGATGCAGCCAAAGGCAGCTCTGAAACCCCCCAGACAAATCCAGCCAACTAGCCATATGTCATGTCATGCTATGTCATTCCCCACCATTGTCTAAGACCCAGAATAAAATGGAGGTTCCTCACATCCCTGGCTGGTGAGCAGAGTTCAGTTTCATAGGCCACAAATTGTGTGCAGAGCAGGTATGATATATGTATGTCATGCAGCCAGATTTCTAGCACACCGGAAGATAGAAGAGTATACAGCTGGTTTAAAAACTATATTTTGATTATATAAAGGTATTACATTGTACTCAATATATATAGCATAAACTACACCAATAAAGATAAAAAGAGGTGCACTACAATCCTGTTGCAGATACAGCCAAAGGCAGCTCTGAAACCCCCAAGCAAGCAATGTTAGAGAATAGAAATATAAATCTGAAAGCAGAACACCAGTTGGGGAAAAAATCTGTTTCAACGGCACAGTCTTTTTCAATTCTGTCAAACAGGAGACTGTCCCCTCTGGGGCACCATAGCTTTGCATCTAGCTCAATACTTCATTTTGCTACAAGACTCTGTCTGGCATACTGCCCTGAATGGCAACCAACTTGTGTGCAGCCTGATGTTTTCTTTATTCACAAGAGACTGTTGTGTGTGCCGCCCCTATACTAATATTAGCTATGTGAAAAATAGTCTCCTGATTAGTGTCATTTGCATTAGTCCGAAGGTTTAAAATCCCCAGTTCATCCATGCAGACTATCTTTCTTCACCTCCTTCCCAGATGGCTTCAACTGTTCCTGTTTGTTTGTTTTTGCTTGCTTGCTTACTTGCTTGCTTGCTTGCAGTATGGACATTTTCAGGATAAACCTATTGACTGTCTGCCCAGACACTTACTATAGTAGGTGGTATTTGATGGAAGAAATGTGCCTTGTACGGATGTCTCAGACAGAAATTCATCATCTACATCTGTAGCAAGGGATTGGGAAACTGGCTAACCTGTAGAATTCTTGCCTGGAGATTCTCTACAAATTGTGATTGTGGCAGGGAAGCAGTGCCTTAAACAGATGTGTTCAGGCAAAAATTCATCATGGCTACATGAAGCATGTGACTGAGGAAGCTGCTACACCTGTTGAATGTCTCCTCCCCCATCCCAAAAGCCAGGGCAAAGTATGGATGCATGGAACCAAGTTTGCAAGCAAGCATAATAGACAACCCTTGACAAAGTATTCCCTGCTTAAATGGTGTGAACATTAAGGTACTTTAAATTTCCATTTCCTTGATATTTTAAGCAGGGGTAGAAATGGCAAACACCTCAAATCACATGTGGCAGTGGTGGTGGTGGTTTTTAAACTATGAAACTGATTTATTGTTTGGAAGTTTCTGGTAAAACAGCTTCCGCAGGGCAGTTTTGACATCCTTATTCCTCATGCTGTAAATTAACGGGTTCATCATTGGAGGAAACACTGAGTATATCACAACAAGCACTTCATCCAGATTAAATGAAGGGCTGGAGGGTGGCATGACATAGGCAAAGAGACTTGTACTAAGTAAGAGAGAGACAACAGTGAGGTGGGGAATGCAGGTAGAGAACGCTTTCTGTCTACTTGCTTTTGAGGACATTCTCAGCACTGCAGTAAAGATCTGAACATAGGATGTGACAATGAGCACAAAGCAGCCAAGACCTAAGGCTGAACTAAAGAGAAGGGGCCACATTTCATTCAAGTACGAATTAGCACATGAGATCTTCATCAGGTGTGGGATTTCACAGAAGAACTGAGTGATGATGTTGGAGCAGAAGGGCAGTGAAAAAATGGTACCTGTGTGCAAAGCAGCATTAAGGAAGCCTGCTGCCCATGCCCCACCAGCCAGCTGAATACACCTTCCCCACTTCATCACAGAGGTATAGTGCAGTGGGTGACAGATGGCCACATACCGGTCATAGGCCATGACAGCGAGGAGGAAAATGTCTGATGACATGAAGAAGAGGAACAATAGCATTTGTGCAACACATTCAGAATAAGAAATATGTGTTGTGTTCATCAGGGCATTAGCTATTGATCTGGGAATGGTGACGGTTGTGGATCCAAGGTCAACAATTGATAAGTTGACAAGAAAGAAATACATTGGGGTCTGAAGGTGGGTAGTTCTAGCTACCAGAATGATGATGAGGAAGTTTCCAATGAGAATTGCCATGTACATTGCTGTGAATACTGCAAGGTGTAAGATCTGGAGTTCCCTTTGCTCTGAAAATCCCAGTAGCAGGAAATCTCTTATGATGGTTACATTAGACATGTCTTTGTAATCTGTTGGGGGAATAAGAGAGACTATTATAAAATTTTTACTATTGCAAGAAAATGTTTCCATCCAATACTTAAAAGAACAAAGAGAACAAAAAGAACAAAGTTGGAGCAGAACAAAGGCATATCTAGCAATGACTAACCCAATACCTATTGGAAGTCCACATGCAGGTCACAAGCACAATACCATTGTACCACTCATGTTCTTCAGCAACTGGTATTCAGAGACACATATGTTCCATCATTTCTCTGATGAAAATAGTGACATCCTATTTAATAATAGTAATAATATTTATACTACGCCCATCTGACTGGGTTGCCCCAGCCACTCTGGACTGCTTACCTCATATATAAAAACATATATAAAAATATAATAGAACAGTAAACATTTTCTTAAAACTTCCCTACACAGGGCTTCCTTCAGATGTATTCTAAAGGTTGTATAGTTCCTTATCTCCTTGATTGGTGGTCGCATAACTCCAAGCCCTCCAACATTTCTCCAATAAAAATAGGGACGTCTTAAGGGAAATTGGGACATTCAAGGATCAAATCAGAAACTGGGACAGCTTCTGTAAATCCAGGACTGTCCCTGGAAAATAGGGACACTTGGAAGGTCTGGAGACATATTCCAACTTAATGATATTTTTAGGGACAACTGTAACGTAGAGAGTGCAGCATGCTGACCGTTTGTGTAAAATAAAAATAAAAATCCCTACACTTAACATCACAGCTACATAACAAACAGTTTGACCCTCAATTTTCACATATCCCTTCCTTCTGAAATCTCCACTTTGTGTAGAGCAGCCTGAAAACCCTAACCACATCTACTGAGAAGTATGTCAATAGGGCTTATTCCCTGGTAAGTTGCTCCATTAATCCCTCAAATGAGTATTTTCCTTAAAACTAGGAATGATTTGCTTTATATTCAGAAGCAGTATAGATCTGACTGCCAGAATGAAACAAGAAGGAATAGCCATGCCTTTCATAGTGTCTGTGTGCATTTCTCATCTGCATCAAGCTTGTTTGGGGCAGAGGAGAGACACTATGCTGAGCTGCAGGCATCACTGCTCTGACCCACCATCACTGTTCATATGCACCCACTCACTCTCTGTCTCTCTTTCCAACTACCTGCCTCTTAAGGATGATATATCTATATTTTCTATTAAACACTGGTTCTATCTAATATGTTGTTAAATCAATGAGATCAATGACAGGCTGCATATCAACATTAGTTGGACTCCACATGGGATATATTCTACTAAGGTTTACTCAAAGCAGACTCACTGAACTCAATTCACCTAATTTAGTCATCCCACTCATTTCAACAGGCCATCTTAGAGCAGGACTAATTTAGGCTTGCCATATTTCCAGAGGTAAAAATCCGAACACCTGGTAGCCCATCCGCTGCCGCCAAAGCCAGTGTCACCCACACCAGAGCCAAAGCCCGGATTGCCTGCACCAGAGCCCCAGCTGGATCCATAGCTGCCTGAGCACAAAAAAACCCAAATCCCATACATTTTAAAGTGTAAGATTACCCCGGATGGGCATGTAAGACACCATAGCCAGGATCCAACTAAGGTTATACAGTAAGCAAAGGTAGCCTTAGTGACCCATGAGAAAAATCCACATTACAGCAGTAACTAAGATGAACGAAAAATTCACAAAATAGTTGCATTCAAGTCTCACTGTAACCACAGTCCCATTTAGCTGTGAGTGTTTTAAACCTTGTGATTTCAATAGATTTAAATGACTGGTTTCTGCTGGATCAGAAATCTCACCAATAGTCGTTTGGCAAATATCGAACCATGGAGAGCTGGACAGAAACAGCTTAGGATGCCTAAGAATGGAAAACATGCTTAGCAGAAGTATGTCTTGCTAACCATTACTATCCCCACAATATTTACACAATACATGAGGCCATGCTGAGGCATGAAAGGAAATTGCATGGTAGATGTCACATGGAGCATGCTGTCTCCTTGATTGTAGTTTGCAAACCCCACAAATAACATGCCTTCTGAGAACAGGCACTCACTAAGGGGAAAAGAGTAAAAATACAATGTCAGCTTAATGCACTTAGGTCAGAAGAAGATCAGAGTGCATGATGGGGGGATAACAAAGGGATTAGATCCACACCCTACCTTTTTGTATACTGTGGATCTGGTTTGATTTAGAAGTGAGGGAGTTTCTTTTGAGGAGGGGGAATCAGAGACAGACGCATAGAGAAATACAAAAATAAAATAAAATACTGAGGCAAATGAAACCAGAGAATGAGGGGGGGAGGGGGGAGGGAGAGGGAGAGGGGGGGAGAGAGAGAGATTTGATAAGTTTAAAATGTTTTTCCTTACAAATATTTTCCAGCTGGATGCTGAAAATTCTCCCCTGAATCTTAACTTGCCATATAACATTATATTTATCACTTTTTCCATCCACCCACTCCTTCAATTTTCCTTTCATCTACCATTCATCATTCAGGGCAGCAAACAGAATATCCATATTTACTTCATGTACTTACATTTAGCTTCCTGTTTCTTTGAGGTTTGAAGGAAGCAACCTGTCGTTCTTCAAGCATAAGCTGTGTGCCCTGCTGGGTACAAGCAGAACTAGAAGTGCTAAGGGGATGTGAGCAAGGGGATATAAAGTGTAAGAATGGTTCCTAGGGATTAATCTGTGCATCTCTGCAGCAAAGCCCCAGAGACAAAACAGTGTCACTCTTACATGCCCCTTTCAAAGCATTTTTTATGATACATGGTTCTTTTTTAAAAAAAATAAAATCATTTGTCTGTTAGTTTAGCCAATTCTGCATAGCTCATCAGTTTTTCTTGCCATTGTTCCTTTGATGGTATTTCTTCCATCTTCCTGTATTGTGCAATCAAGATTCTTGCCACTGTTGTAGCATACATAAATAATGTCCATTTTTCTTTTGGTAGCTCTTGATTTGAGATACCTAACAAAAAGGCGTCTGGATGTTTTACAAAATTCTTTAACATTTCAAAACTTGACTTCCTTCCCCCTCTTTCTGCAGTTCCTTAATTTTAAAAAAATATCTTCTACATATCCATATTAACTTAATTTGTTCATTTATTCATCTGCTACAAATATTTACTCTTATGAAACTCTAGGTTATTACAATAATCCTGCCAATGTTCTTAAAGGTAAAGGTAAAGGTACCCCTGCCCATACGGGCCAGTCGTGTCCGACTCTAGGGTTGTGCGCCCATCTCACTTAATAGGCTGGGGGCCAGCGCTGTCCCCAGACACTTCCAGGTCATGTGGCCAGTGTGACGAAGCTGCTCTGGCGAGCCAGCACCAGCGCAGCACACGGAAACGCCGTTTACCTTCCCGCTATAAAGCGGTACCTATTTATCTACTTGCACTTAGGGGTGCTTTCGAACTGCTAGGTGGGCAGGAACTGCTAGGTGGGCAGTCCAATGTTCTTATCTGTTTACAATTTTTCTGTAAATATTCAATAAACCATTTCCATTCTTTTATAAAAGAATTGATTTCTTATTTTTTCTGGTAAGTTTCACTATTTCTGCATATTCCATAAGTTTTTGTATCCATTCTTCCTTCGCTGGGACTTCTACCTCTTTCCATTTTTTGGCAAGTAAAATTATTGCCGCTGTAGTAGCATACATGAATCAGTTTCCGTACGGTTTGGGTTGTTCTGTCCCTATAATTTTCATAAGGAAACTTCTGGTTTTTGCACAAACATTATTTTAAACATCCTTTTCAATTCATTATATATCATTTCCTAGTAAGCTTTAACCGTACTATAAGACATATGATAAAAAGAACCTTCTTTCTTTTTTACATTTCCAACACTTATTTGATTTAGATTTATTCATTTTTGCCAATTTACTCAGTGTTAAATACAATCGATATATCATTTTCTTATAATTTTCTCTTAGACCATAACATGCTGTAAATTTTATATCCATTTTCCACAATTGTTCCCATGCTTCCATGTCTGTATTATGACCAACGTCTATTGCCCAATGTATCATTGAGGATTTTACTTGCTCATCCTTTGTCTCCCATTCCAATAATATTTTATACATTTTAGACAGCACTTTTACATTACAGTACACTGCAACAGGTCTCTCTCTGTTGTGATATTTGTTCCCCAAACCCTCATATCCTTCTTAAATATTTCATTCAAATAATGATACTGTATCCATGTTGTTAATTTTTCTGATAATTCCATAAATTCTTTTAAATTATTCTCTCCTCCCTCTTGTTTTAATAAATTTCTATAAGTTGTCCTCCTTCTATCATATTCTTTTGTTTTACCACTATACAGTAAGGGGGGAAAGTATTTGATCCCCTGCTAAATTTGCCCTTTTGCGCTCTGATGAAAAAATGACCAGTCCATAATTTTAATGGTAGGTTTATTGTAGCTGTGAGAGACAGAATAACAACAGGAAAACTCCCAGAAACCCAGAATTGTCCGACACTCATTGCACTCATTTAAGTTGCAACCAAAAAGACCCACATATCCAAAATACCAACATGCTTAAAGTGATTGATTATTTAAATGTGCAGGAAAATTTCCCAGCAAACAAAGCCACAATAAAGCTGGCAACAGAAATTTTATTTTATTCCGAAAGACAGCAGATATATTATATAAAAAATAAATAGCAATGAATCCTATATTACAAATGCATTTTAGAATTGAACCATCTAGCTCAACTCTTTTGTTGGCCAAAGATAACAATTGTCTATTGAACAGTTTCCCTACAAAAAAAGGTATGAAATTTTATTATCGACATTTTTGCATTATGATGTTTTTTTAAAACCAGAAATAAGCATACATATACAGCTTTTTAAAATGAGCATGCCATTGAAACAATTTTCTAAAAACCTTTCCTCAGTGACATTGTCATGATAGAAATACATCAAATTATAGGGTTGTCAAACCCATTTACCTGGATATAAGCATCATTGTGCTCCCTAGAATTTATATTTGAGTAGACAATCATAGGACTGCACACTAAATAATAAGTTTTCAACTCGGGCATTGTTTTCAGTTTTCTGCAGTTGCTACCTCTGTCACAATTAAAATATTGTTTATAAATGCAGCATCATTCTGCTCCACTATTGGGGCTTAAAACAATAAACAGCAGGACTTCTGCTTAGACCATTATAGACATGCTTACTTATTTCTTACTAACATTTGATCCTTGCTATTCAGCTTGGGCCTCAGAATAATTATATAGCATTTTGGAAAGAAAATACAACCCAGTAATCCTGCACTGGAAGCCAGGATAGAAAAGATCTCCACAGATACCATATATTTTCCCTTGGTGCTCAGGTAGGTTGGCACAAAGGTCACCCAAACACTGCAAAATAACAGCATACTAAAAGTGATGAATTTGGCTTCGTTAAATGTGTTGGGCAACTTCCTTGCAAAGAAAGCCACAACAAAGGTTACTAGTGCCATTAATCCCAAGTAGCCCAGAACACAGTAAAACATAGTCACAGACCCTTCATTGCATTCCACTACAATTTCTTCAAATAGAGAGTGCATGTCCAAATATGTAGACGGAGGAGCTGTGACTAACCACAGCATACAAATCCCCGCTTGAAAAATAGAACAAGAAAGAACAACTGAGTTCGCCAGTTTTTTCCCTAGCCATTTCCTCATTCTGCCTCCTGGCTTACTAGCCATGAATGCGAGAACCACAGTGATGGTTTTGGCCAACACAGAAGAAACTGCCACAGAGAAAATGAAGCCAAAAGCTGTTTGCCGTAGGAGGCAGGTCAGTGTCTGAGGTTGGCCTATGAACAGTAAGGAGCAGAGAAAACAGAGCAGGAGAGAAATGAGCAGAGAGTAGGTGAGATTCCTATTGTTGGCTTTGACAATAGGGGTGTTCTGGAACCTAATGAAGATTCCAAGCACCACTGTCGTGATCAGAGACAAAAACAGTGCCAAGAAAGCTAAAATAATCCCCAAAGGTTCATCATAAGACAGAAAGTTTAGAATCTTAGGAAGGCATTGAGTCCTGTCCCTCTTTGGATACAGATGTTCTGGACATGTGACACAGTCATTCATATCTGCAAGAAGGGGGAAAATCATTTTTCACTCTTTTAAACATACTGGATGGTAATCAGAGTTGCATGGGCAGAGTTCCTCTGCTGCATATTTTTCTGTGTATAATGCAATGTATAGACCTACACTTGGTGCTTACATAAAAGGAACACGTTTCAGTAGTGCTAGTCATCTCTGGCTGAAAATTTACTTTCACTGTCAAGTGCCCTCTTAGTCCAATTACGTTCTGAAGTGATGTCAATGAAGCAGAATTTTTAAGTATTTCATAGTACAAATATACCAAAATTTGTAATGTCAAATCAAGGCAAAATAATCACAAAAAGGGATTTATAGAAGAAATATCTCCCTTGCATGAGAGAATAGTGGCAGCAGAGATTAAGAGGAACCTTTTCAAGTATGTTTTCTCTTGGTCTTTCCCAAGCCCCACTCCACTTTCTCATATGTATAATCAACCATTTTGTCTCCTACCACTCTGGTCTGAAATCTTCCCTTCTGGACATGGAGCACAATCATAGCAGCAAAACGGCTTGTCCTCCTTCCTTTTTCTGCTGTAGCCTGGATAGCAGTTGTCATTACACACAGCAAGTGGCAGGGCCTAACCATATAAAATGAAAGTAGTATGACTCAGTTTTCTTCTAACTGGCTCTATTCATCTTTGAGTAACAGGATGCTGACTTCAAATGGCTGCATAACCGAAGAAGAGAATTTTGTAGGCAGAAAGCAGTGACGTGGTTCATAAATATGAATAGGGGGAAATTAGATTCAATACGCATTTAAAGCCAAATTTATCAACTTTGCACTTTCTGAAAGAATATGTGAACAGATACACAGCTATTCTTCGAAATTTGCACTTAGCACTGCCCTCCAGGAAGAACGTAGGTAATTATGTTTGCTGTGTGCATACTCCCCTTTACTTTGCATCCAGGGTACTCCCAAAGCTGGTTTGGAAAACAGTGTACATATGTTAGCTACAATCCATATTTATCATGTCATTTCTTACAAAATACTGCATTTTGATATGTTTTCCTCCAAACCAGCTTCTAGCTAAATTAAGAAGATTGACCTAGCTGTGCCTTAAGGTGGCAACATGTGCACAGCCTATCATAATTGGGTGTAAGATAAAGAAAACAAAAGGAAAATTCACTGCAGGGTTGGTAACACATCCTAGAATCAGAAGAGAGATTAGGGGCAGGGGACGCATGCTGTGGAGGCACAAATTCCCCAACCACAATACTCCCAGCCATTTAGAAACATCTAAGAATAGTCATAAACCCCCACAGCTGACAATTTCAAGCTTGCTGAAAACCAGCAAATGCCTGGGTGAACTGGACTGTTGGTTGGTTGGTTGGTTGGTTGGTTGGTTGGTGAAGCCCAGCCAGATGGGTGGGGTATAAGTAATAAATTGTTGTTGTTGTTGTTTCAATTCTTCCTGGATGCCACTAAATGAGGGAGACAGATACAACACACCAGGAAGGATATTCCACAAATGGGAAACCACTAGCAAGAAAGCTCTTTCACGGGTCAACTCCCAGCGGTTGAACCACCAATAGAGCTTCCCCTGCTACTCATAGGGTCCAAGATGGTCTGAATGGTTTGATGAAGAGCTCATTGAAGGGTTCAATGACTAGATCACCTCTGCTTCTGTCACACCCAGCGTTACTTGTGTGTGTTTGTGTGAGGTGGTTTGGAAGGTGGGAAGGGAAATGATGAGAGAAGCACACCACGGTGCTCTCAGGACCAGGTAGATTGGCAGGCCCCAACAAAGAAGAAGAAGGGAGAAACTGAAGGGGAGAAACTGGGGTTGAAGGGGCTCTTCTCAGTATGCCTTTTGATTCTATTACATGCAACCAGATCCCACCTGATTAAAATTCTTGTGCCATGTGATGATGCTTTCATTAATGGTGAACTCGGTGCCTGGTGAAGCGTGTGGATCCATCCTTCCCAATTTCACTCTTATGAAGGATTTGTTTGGGAAAGTAATCCAGTTGGTAATATCAAATCCAGCAGCTAGTTCGTTTTTCTCATTAAAATAAATGGTGTCCCCAGCACTGTTGTTGAATGAAACGCTCCTCAGAAAAGGGTGAAGCTGGATTGAAAGAGGCAAATCTCAGAAAATGAGACTAATAAATATAATAAATAAATAATAGTCTCCTGTGTGCAAGATGAGGTTAATTCTAGTAAAGGTAAAGGGACTCCTGACCGTTAAGTCCAGTCGCGAACGACTCTGGGGTTGCGGCGCTCATCTCTTTCTATAGGCCAAAGGAGCCGGTGTTTGTCTGCAGATAGCTTCCGGGTCATGTGGCCAGCATGGCTAAGCCGCTTCTGGCGAACCAGAGTAGCACACGGAAACACCGTTTACCTTCCTGCACTTTGCTTTCGAACTGCTAGTTGGGCAGGAGCTGGGACTGAGCAACGGGAGCTCACCCCGTCGCGGGGATTCGAACTGCCAACTTTCTGATCGGCAAGCCCTAGGCTCTGTGGTTTAGACCACAGCGCCACCCGCATCCCCTAGGTTAATTCTAGTCTACCTTAAAAGGTGAGATGATCAAACGAAGGTCATAAACATTACAAAGGTTCAAGGAAGAAGCGATGTTCTGGGGATAACCCTCCCTAGGCGAACCCTCAGACCCTTGAGCTTTATAACATTCACCGGCTCATGATATGCAAGCTGTTACCTGCCAAGGTTGCTGGTGGGGAGGCTCCAGACTGCCTCTATCCCCTGTCACTGTCCTATGATTCTCTATGGCTGAGTACCTGGCATGTAGAGCTTGTGCTATGGCATGGACAGCATTGTAGATACTGTAGCTTTGGGCAGTCATACTCATTTCAAAAAATATCCCAGGAAGGCTCTCCAGTTTCTCCTCCCCAGTACATATGTCAATGAGCTCCTTACCCAGTTTGGTACCTGGCCACAAACAGCCAAATGCCTGTTCCCAGAAGACCCTAATGAAGCCATCTCCTTTCGGCCAATGAAAATTTAGAACTTGAAGGAAATTTTGGAAGCCAAACACTTCATTGGAGTTCAGTGTAAATGACAAAGCTCCATGGAAAAAGTCAATATCCAAATTCCTGTAATATATATGTGATGAGAATTCCCACTGGGCTGTCATAACCCATACCTTACCCATTACTGCCTCTGTCAAGTCTTCTGTTTGTGCCAGGTATAGAAACCATTTCAGCATTAATATGGTAAAAGTATCAGCATTTAAGACAAATACATTGACTTTGGTGTTGGTTAGGAAAAGGGCCATGCTCTCTCTAGGTCTCGACAAATAAAAAATTTCTATCATGTTATCCGTGGAAGTGACGAATGGAAGTCTATCAATGAAGGCAGAACACATGCCATTCTGTGAAAGCAGTGGCAGTAGGTTCTGCACAAACCTGTCTCCTTTTTCATCATCCAGTGCAATGATCCCAATCCATTTCCACTGGAAATGCAGAAATAGATGGACAATTCCATTGTATTGCTGCGCTTCATTGGGAACCATCTGATAGACAAAAGGGAACTCGGTTTTCTCATTCATCAATGCAGCAAAAAAGCAGTAGGTGACCTAAGCAAAATGAAGAACATTATAATTAATAATAATAATTTTTATTTATACCCCTCCCTCCCTGGCCAAAACCGGGCTCAGTTACATTCCCCAGAATGTATCCCTCCTAAAACAGCCCAGTTAGGACACAATGTGTTCATTGACTGTGGAATGCTGTTTGTTGGGGAAGGGGCATAGAAATTGAATGGAATGTCTGGAGTTTAAGCAGCTGTTTTCTCTCTCTCTCTCTCTGGAGAGAGAGAGAGAGATGCAGTGCTAGTTTTACATTTTAAAGCACTAAATCATAGGAACCCTACTTAGCTGAAGGAACCTAAAGCTTTTAATTCTTTAAACCCTGTCTCCAGAGCACAATGGGGAACTTTTTTTCCACATAGAATATCACAGGGCCAACTCCTCCTGTACTTTTAAAAGGTTAGCAAATATTATTCATTTGCAGGGGGCATTTTCTATAAAGTGTTAGAACTGATCCGTATACTGAAATTGAGGAGTTTCTGCATGCTATGGAGGGTATGTATAGATGTCCTTTTAAAATATGTATTTTTCTTGGGAAACAAACAAGGCTTGTATATTTTTTGCCAATCAAATTTGTAGCTATCTCTCTCTACCCCAAAACAATAATTTGCACATGGAAATGATGACATGTGTGCTAATTCTGTGACACAGTTACTCTTCCCCCCATGACACTAACCAAGTGTATCCTACCTGTGGAATCTTGTAGATGCTTAAGAAGTTGGCCATATGGAGAGAGGTTTCAGAATCAAGTCCCCCAATAACAGCTATCAAATTCTTCTCAGTGTCACAGCTGTAGTTAGGTATGGTCTTTTTCAAATTAAAGAGAACATTCAAGGTGTTCTGATAAGTCATTTTTGCATTGAAGTAGCTGTCATAAATATGGAATCCCAGGCTGACATTTGGTAAAACTTTGGGGTCATCATTTACCTCCTTCACGGCAAATAGGAAAGCCAAGACGTGTTGATAGTTTTTTGGCACTGCTCTAAAATAAGCAAGTGAAGAAGAAGAAGAAGAAGAAGAAGAAGAAGAAGAAGAAGAAGAAGAAGAAGAAGAATTTATATGAAGCATTAAATACCTATTATGAACTTCCCAATTTGCAAGTCTCTATGACTACTTTTTGAAAACCAGTTTCATGGTATGAGACTGTATAGCATCATCATAGTTAAGATATTTATGTAGCAGAGCTACCTGGAGCTACCCCCACATCTATCATCTGTCACATTCACACATCATTAGCATTATTTTTTTTAAGTTAAAACACACAGGAACCATATTCTGGATGTATATGGGTTGTTGTTCGTTTGAATACCTTTCTGTGTCCATTCGCATATATGCACACGTTTTCATAACTCGCACACATTAAGTAAAACTTTGCACACATGCCATCCACATAATACTTTCAAAAATACACAACTGACCAACTGTTTGACAGTGTTTTTTTACCCTTTATTGCTGCATCCTCAGTTACGCTAGCCCTTTTGTGTTGACCAGGTTCTTTGTCAACATTTAGAAAATTAGAAGGTTAATAAATATTCCACATCAGCAACAAACTAATGACTAGGAACATGTGATGCCATTCAAATGAAGGAGGAGCTCCTGTGGTCAACAGTATAGAGGTTTCAAAAGACAGCAGTTGTGGATGCTTTCATCTTTTGTTTTAATTTGGCTCGACTTTGACCAGGAGTTATATACTGTAAAACAAACCACAGTTCTCTGCCATCCTGTATTTTCTGTGCTGTAATTTTAATACCTCATACATTCTCCACAACTGCAGCATGGTCAAGAGCTGGCTTTGACCTGAAACCAGTATATAGAGATCACAAGGACAACTTGTTACTACATTGCCTAATTTTATTCCATAGAAATAAAAGTATTTCCTTACAGGATTTGATCAATAAGCTTTGTCCTTGGGTGCTCCATGAAGAAAATGGGTTCAAACAATAAGAAGAACTGAGAAGTAATCTCTCCAATGATGAAATCACCTCCCTGATTATACTCATGTGGGACATAGAGAGGTTCTCTCATGCTGCACATAATATGTGCCTTGCATTCAATTTGAAGCAGCAGCAACAATAAGAGCAAAGAAAAACCATCCATTTCCATTTTGAAGGCAAATCCTATTGCCATGAAACAGAAGCCCCCGTTTCCATCTTCTTTGTGATCCAGCACCCTCCCTTCAAAGAACATTGATTGTTTAGATACATCGACCCTGCCCTGCATTCTCCTCAAGGGAGAATTTCCTAGCCTGGAGCATTGTAGCTCTGCCTACCCCTACTTCTCCAATGCACTGAATAGTACTATGGTCTTTTATGTAAGCTTTGAATCACTTGTTTACTAATTGTGCAAAAGGCCCCTGGAAATCCACACTGCTCACAGTGATTTGAAATAATTACTGGGTACACAATTACTCTACAATTCTATTATTTCTTCCTCCCCACAGGACTACTCATTGTGGTACCATGTGCAAGAGAGTCAGAAACAACCTGTTTGCCTGAGCTGACCATGACTCTTTGCTGCTCCTTAGTGGAAGAGGGTTTAGTTATCATATGCAGGCTCAATGATATAGATTAATGCAACACCAAGGGGAGGAAATAGAATCTAGGCAACAGTAGAGTAGAAGCAAGGAAGTAGTAGTAGTGGAAATGTTTTGTATTGAAATGCTAATGCCCTGGACTCCTATCACATATTCTATGTAGAGTGATATGGCTGCAGTCACACAAAGTATTCTGTATAGGCATGCTTTACAATAAGTATTTGGTTTTTGTAGGGGTATAACTCAATAGTTATATAACTCTGCAGCAGACAAATTCTGCTGAATCATGTGGTGATGCATAGTAGTCAACGCACTAAGGCTGCAAACCTGGAAGTAAGCATTATTGAACTGAATAGGATTTACTTCTGAGTAGATACATAAAAGCACGTACTGCCATACCACCAAATCTTCATCTGATCCAGCCATCACTTTAGGCCAGATGTAGAGATCTTTGCCCCTCCAGATGTTGCTGAATTGTAACTCTTATCATACTTGTTTGTTGGGCCTGATGGAAGTTTACCAGCAACATCTGGAGGGCCAAAGGTACCCCACACCTGCTTTAGGCACTTAAACCGGAACAAATTTTAAAACATTTTCCCTGTGTACTTTGGGGTCAAAAGCATATTGGCATAATTAGCATGCTTTTTTAAAAAAGGACTGGTCTTTAGTGCAAGCCGGTGGGAAAGAGTGCTAAGTATGGAGTTTCAAGGCTCCATCCAAGACAGAAAGTATGAAAGGAGACAACAGAGTTGAGAAAGTGGATCCTCAATGTTGAAACTGCTATGATAAAGTATTGGTACATTTGCTCAAATCCTGATTTGTGGGTTTCCCACAAGCATCTGGTTGGCCTCTGTGAGAACACAATGCTAGACTAGGTGGCCCATTGGCCTGATCCAGCAACCTCTTACATTCTTACTAAAATTCTTCTATTAGGGGCCACCCAGAGGCACTTTTCCTAAACAGAAGCTGTATAACAGTTAGTGTGCCTACTTACTAGCTCCCCTTCTTTCGTTGCCTGAAGCTTCTGTGCCCATGCTCTGCTGCCCATACCTGCAGGGCCCATTGATGAGGCAGGGTGAGGAGCCTGTCTCGGGTGGCAGAAGTACAAGAGGCAGCACCCACCTCGCCTCTTCTGCCTTCCCTGTGCTGGAAGTGTCAGCAAGATCTCGCCTCAATCTTATGAGATCTCACCTGCTTTGCAGGTGCCACTGCCACTGCCAAGCAAACAACACAGGTAAGAGAGACACAGTGCCATCAGCAGAGGGGTGGCAGCACATTCCTGTGCCAAAACAGGATGTGACACCTCCTGCTGCTTCCCATTTCAGTAAGACACTGGTGGTCGCACACTGTTTACTGCCCAGCATAATAACAGAAAGTGGGTCTGTCCTCAAGCTGCAGCATTTGCTCAACTCTATGAGAAAAAAGTTGGGTTCACACACTTCTTACCTTTGCCTTCCGCACCGTTTGGGATGGGATGGGAGACATCACTGCTGCCTTCTTCAATGATAAAGTGGTCAAGGTACTGCAGATTCCTGCCTTAAGAGAGACTGGCCATTGTGACCTCACAATGAGTCTCCCTTCCCAGCCAAGTTGACCACTGAGAGTTGTTGACTCAAAACATTGCTTATCAACTTGGTGAGTAGGGGCTGGAATCACTTTACTTCTACATGGAAGAAGTTGGCCCCCCAGTGCCCCAGCTTTTCAGCTTTGCAAAGCTTGCCTACCCTCCACTTTCCCAACATTATCCCCCCACTGAAGGGGCAATGTTTTTTATTCCACTTCCTTAGAATCTGTTTTTTAAAAAGCTATTTTTTAATCAAAGGCTTTATTTCCACCACGTTACCTGAGACCACAAGAGCTTGTTTTCTTCAGCTCTCCTTTGGATGGGGAGCTATGAATTCCTCTTTTACTAAATGCTACTCTATTCACATTAAATTCAAGAGAAGCTAAGGCAAAAGAGAGTTGCAGGAAACATGCTCAGGGTGCAAAATTGGATGTATTAAGCTCTGCTGAGAAACTTAAAGCTGCAATCCTGTGTGCAGTTGGATACAAATGGGTCTCAATTCAATTACTCTGAATGAATTTAAACCAGTATGAGCTGGAAAAAGGTTTCTAAGAGGGTTAAAATCAGGGGTTAGTAATATACATTATTGCCTCAGTCACTAAGGTAACCTGTGACATCTCCTGCTTCCACGTTTCTTGGGGGTGTATGGGGTGTTAGGGGAGGGGCAGTATCTCGTCTCTCTTGGAGAGGGAGCGCCAAGACTTTGGCCACCTCATGAGAAGACCCTGATGCTGGGAAGGATTGAGGGCACAAGGATACGCCAGAGGATGAGATGGTTAGTGTGTGTTCTCAAAGCTACTAACATGAATTTGACCAAACTGTGGGAGGCAGTGGATGACAGGAGTGCCTGGCATGCTCTGGTCCATGGGGTCATGAAGAGTCAGACACGACTAAACAAAAAAAGTATCTCTAGTGGGGGACACACCATGCTACTTTTGAGGTAGTTTGCCCACCTTTATTCCTCATCCTGCACTTGGCTCTCACCTGCAGCTCCGAGAAGCTGTCAGCATGTGACAGCATCTACACCCTGGGGAAAAAGCTTTGACTGGCCAGCTAAACCAGGTGAGGGTAGCTAATGGGTCTCCAACCCTCAGCAGCTTTCTCCTGATTGAAGTGGAGTGTTTGAGGACCGGGACATTCGCAGGGAAACCAAAATGCTTTTTTACAAAGCTATTGTACAATACTACCAACCTTACTGTATGTTTGTGAAACGTTGACCACTTTCTCCAACTCCTCGAAAGATTCCACCAATAGTGTCTCCAAAAAATTTCACACATCACCTGGGAAGACAGGTGAACTAATGCCAGTGTACTGGAAGAAGCAAAGATCACCCATGTCCAAGCAACGATTCTTCAACATCAAATTCGTTAGACTGGTCATGCTGTGCGGATGCCCGATTATCATCTTCCAAAGCAACTACTCTACTCCAAACTTAAAAAAGGAAAACATAATGCTGGTGGTCAACAAGAGAGGTTTAAAAACTCTCTCAAAGGCAAATCTTAAAAAAATGTAGCATAAACACTGACAACTGGGAAACACTGGCCTGCGAGTGCTCCAATTGGAGTACAGCCTTTACCAAAGGTGTCATGGGCTTTGAAGATGCTCAAACTCAGGACGAAAGGGAGAAACGTTCTAAGAGGAAGGCACACTTCACAAACCCTCACCATGATCAGCTCCCACCCAGAAACATATGTCCCCACTGTGGAAGGATGTGTGGATCCAGAATTGGCCTCCACAGTCACTTACGGACTCACTGTTAAAACCATGTTCATGGAAGACAATCTTACTCGGCTACAAGTGATCGCCAAAGAAGAAAGCCTCAGAGAGTTAGGAGCTTCCCTTGCACGCTAAGACAGGCTCCAACGGATTGAGTAGAGGAGACCAATAGTGGGTCCAATGATCAAGAAGGTGGTTACTCCACATGCAGAAGGAAATGATGGGAAAATGGGGCTCACCAACCTGGGAAGGTAGCTCATTCAGGAGAAGGAAAACTGATCCTAAACCTCTGCTGCTTTGCAGCTATACTCATTCATGAGAAAGACTTCCCGAGTAAATCCTGAGGAAAAATCTGTACCTGCTGCATTGCAGGACATCTTTGGGTGAGGAAAAGGCTAAGGAGTAAACCCTGCACAAATCTGGAGTGGAGTCCCTAAAATGATTGGATGGGGCCTTGCATGCCTCCTTCAGGCAACTCCTGCAGCCACGCTGGTGCCAAATGCATTGCTCTGCTTTCCTTTGGACCAAATCGGTGAAGTCAAGGGGTGTGTCTTACGGTCTGGGCATCCCAGGACCTCCATACACAGCAGCAAAAACATGTGAGCAGCAGCTACAAGTTACTGGTCTCTGTAGCCACAGCAGGAGCTGCAATTCTCCAGCAGTTTGACTTCATCCCCAGCAGCACACTCCATAGTCCCTTGAAACAAGACGGTGGCCAACAATTGGTAACTACCTACTTGGTTTCTTTGTGTCAATTATGGTGCTTTTCTTTTTATAGACAACTCTGTTTCATTTATATATTTTTATTTTGTTCTTAGCTATTGCTGAGTTTGCATACTTCCATCATTTCTTTAGTGATTGTAATTAAGCTTTCCAATTTATTTTACTCCTGGTCTGTTCCTAGTTCTTTCTGGTTAGCATTAGCTCAATGGAGTAAGCTTCATAGACCTAAAAGCTACAGCCTATTTTCAGAGTGTAGATGGAATTGTTGGCCCTAATGATGGGAGTGTGCTAGTATTAAAATTGCATTAAATTTGTGCTCACAAGAAGGGGGAGGGGGTAATAAACTAAACTGATCCTCATAATTTCATGCATAAAAGTGGTTTATCTGGAGTGAGTTCAAGTCTTTCTAAATATTTCCTGTATACGAACATCTTAGCCCACCAATCTTTTATGAGGCAGTTTCTCAAGGTTTACTAAGTAGTAAGCTTTGACTCGGAAGAGGATCACTTAATAACCAGAACAGCCCTTGTTGCAGTTAACAAATAAATAACAGTATCTCTTATACCTAAAGAAGACATTGTTTTCAAAGTTGTTTATTTAAAGGACCACTTAATTCTCAGCAATATTTCACTCTTTTATTCTTTCACATCTACATTCCAAGATATTCTTTATTTATTGTTGATACAAGTATTTCAAATTACTTCAGTTATTAAAATATGCATCAATGATACACCACTACCACCACTTCTTCCAGTGATTAGAACAGTTAATTGATGCTGCGATCTCTTTGTTTCCAGTAATAGGGTTTGAAGACGACCTAGTAGACATGCCTTTCAGCCAGGTTGTATATAGAAGACAGCATTTCGTATCCTAAAAATCTAAAGTGGCGGTGTTGTTGTTTTTTAAAAAAGAGAAGTTTGTAGTCCATATTGCTGTAAAAATAATATTGGAGATGTGCAGGCAATGCCAGATAAAATCTCAGAAGCCTAAAGGGAGCTGACAAGGGTTTCAATGGATCAGTACTCTGTTTCTTGTCCTTCCCCATCAACTGAGAAATTATGCAATATAAGCAACTCTGTGCTGTTTGCTTCATCTGCATAATGTAGTCATGGAATTGAAATTCAGAGCACATTATTAAAAAACTTTTCTTATTTGATTTTTACATTGCCTTTCCTCCAAGCTCAGGGCACCACAGATATTCCCATTTTTTTAAAATCCTCACAACCATACAGTGAGGAGGAATGACTGGCCCAAGAGACTGTAACAACCTACATAGCTGAATGGCAACTTGAACCTCGGTCTTTGTAGTTTAGTGGCAATTTGAACCTAGTCTGAAACTTTGAACATTGCATTATGTTGGTCAAGAAAGGAATACACACTGGCCTATCTATAAGGCATTGTTTGTAAAAGAAGCCTGTGTCAGCCTTTCATCATTTTGGGGTTCAAGGTCACTCTGTCCCCATAGGCTCTTCCTGCACTCCCATTTTATGCTTGAGCACAGTATGCAGGTAAGAAAAGCTGTGCCACAGGATGGCATTTCAGAAACTGAAATTGCAATTCCCTGGGAACAGATTGCCAACATCCAGGCACAAGCCAAGATTCCCTGCACCTGGCATTTACTAGGTAGGCAAACAGGGCACAAGAGGTTTTTGCTTGCGGGTTCTGAATGCACTCAGCCCACCTGGTATGTCATTCCTACCCTCCACCCTGGGGAAGGAGGGGGTGAAAAACACCTGGGCACGAATGATTTCACAGAACACTTCCTTAACACTTGCTATTACAGGAGAATGCATTTATCAAAGTTTTTGGGAGGAGGACTGCTCGGGGGAGTAATTGAATAAGTTGTTGGTTTTCCTAGCAAAGAGGCACGAGGACTGCCCTGCTTCTGCTCAGCTTCTTTGGAAACCGTGGGCAGATTTTGGCTAGGAGAACCATAATCCATGCTGGCATGAAAAGCATAGGAGGGCTGCAGGGATGGGGTGCTGGTTTCTCGAGGGGAAGGTGGTGATTTCGCCGATTGTGGGCTTGCAGTGGTCACGGAGTTCACACTAGCATGCTGGTGTTGGTGCATGAGGGCCTGAGACTTAGATGCATCCAAATTTCTGTTTGTTCCAGGTGAAGTATATGATGAGGGCTGCCAGGATAGGGTGGTCATAGTTTCCAGAGGGGAAGGGGATGGGTGTGCTGATCTTGTGCTTGAGGTCACACTAACATACCGTTGCTGGCTGATGAGGGCCCAAGACTCGGAGCACAGAGCATCAGAATTACCATTGATCCAAGAAGAGGTGCCCGGCGGCTGCAGAGGTGGCGTGGTGGTGGTTTCTAGAGGGGAAGGTGGTGAGCTTGCAGGTCCTGTGCTTGAGGAGCTTATGGCATAGTTCTTGCTAATAATTTTTTGCTGATGCACCAAGGGCCAAGAGTCAGAAGGCAGAGCGTCAGAATTACTGCCGGGACTAACAGCAGCATAAGATCCAGAGGACTGCTGGGTTGCGTTTGTAGAAGCAGACAGAGAACTGAGCGGCTGCATGCTTGAGGTTACAGGAGAGTCCACACCACCATACTTCCCCCAATGTGTGGATGTTGGAGACTTAGAAGGTACTTTGTTTGAGAGCGCAGCCACAAGATTTTGATCTGCCACAGGGACAGAACTGTGCTGCAGACCATCTAGCCATGTACGGTGGTGGCATTCTGATTGGTGGACAGTCCGAGATTTGGGTGAGCGGAGGCTAGCTGCATTTTGAGAAGATAAGGAAGTAGGAAACGTCCCTGCGGGAGTCAAACTATGGGGGAGTCCTGCGGTTCTGGGTGGTACCTGCTCCTGAAAAATGGAATCTTGTCCCAAAACTGCAGAAGCATAGGACCTCTGCTGCTGAATTTGGGTGGGAGGCTGAGTCTGGCTGGCTGGAGGCACAGGTTGGGCAGGCAGAGTCTGCGGTGGAGTCTTCTGAAACTGTATCCCAGAGGGTTTTACAGAAACTGGTATGAATGGTGCTGGGTAGAGAGGAGGCATCTCTGGAATAAATGTGACAGGCGGGTATACAACTGGCTGAGCCCATGCTCCAGGACCCGTAGAGACAGGCTGAAAGATGGAGGGAGGTGGTGTATTATTGTTAAAAAACCAATGGTTAACCAGATGTGCAGGCCTGGAGCCAATGCTGTCAGATTTCAAATTCTCATCCCTTCTGGTGGCTTGGGAATCCACTGGGTAAACTACAGGAGAGTTGGGAGTGTCTATCAGCTTGAGTGTCATCTCTCCCACAGGAGCTACTGGTTTGGGAGTCCCAGGTAAAGTACTAATTTCCTTGTTGGCTGGTGGTCCAAGACATTCAGAAGGCTGGAGGAGAGAGAGATGGGGCTGAGGCTTGCGAAGTGCAGTCTTTAGAGAAAACTTGGGAACAACCAAAGGCTTGATTTTAGGTGGGGAGTGGTCAGGAGTCACTGCAGAGTCTTGCACTTTGGACAAATCAGGATGGCCTGAAATATCTCTCGAATTGGCTGTGGCCCTCTCGTGCTCTTGCAAAGGAGATACTGTTTTTGGTATCTCCTTGAGATGGCCCTTGGGTAGAATGCAGGACTCCTTATCACCTTGCTGTTCGAGGGGATCTGAAGTCCGGAGGAAAGTGGAGTGGAGCTGTGGTACCCCTGGAGCCTTGGGAAGAGGGGCAGGCTTGGGACTTACTAAAGGTTCAGCTGCTGCCATCGTTTTGGGCAGTGACTGACAAGCAGCCACTGCGGCATTTTCCACTTCAGATGGGACAGGCTGATCTGAAACAACAACAATATTTACTGTTAAGAGAGAAGGGTAACAACTGCAGTTAGAAACAGGAGGGGGGAAACAGAAAGGTCAGGTGGTTCTTTCTTGAAGCCTCATATGGAAAGACTGGAGTAAGCTTGGGAATCTAGATGCTGTTAGCAGGGGAACTGTTTGTTCATTTTTAAACTAGATATTTCTTTCTCTTTGGTGATCACTCCTAGCCAAGCAAGAGTGTCTTCCATGAATGTGGTCTTAACGGTGTATCAGTAAGTGACTGTGGAGACCAATTCACTCACATGATCATGACCTTGTCATGGTGAGTGGGCTTGCATGTTCCCATGATCCTTGTGAGCAATGCCATTGGGAGTCACACTCCCAGTTGGGTCACCCAACGTGGTCAAAGGGCAGAAGCTAGACAAAGAATGATCCAAGAAGTCTTCGGCAGCAGAACAGGCAGAAGATAACAAGCAGTATGTTACAATGGCTGTGAAGGCGGATGAAGGCTGCAGCAGATAATAAGAATCTGCCAGTCATGGTGATACTTATGCCATCAGAATAGAGCCTTACTGTGAAGACAGTGCATTGGTCACCGTGCACTGATCTCCACACACCAAACAAATTCACACACAGAAGTCTTCCGAAAACCCATCCCAAACCCACCCCCCTTCCCCCCAAAAGTCTCATGGTGCTTGGCAAAAATTAGATCTATATTGCAAACAATATGAAAATCATAATAAAGAGAGCAAAAGACGCTGCAAATGAAAAGCACTTACTGGATTTGACAGGTGACGCTTTAGCAGACACAGGTAGTAGCAATGTTTGGACTCCACAGCCCTCCAGACGAACAATATCAGGCATCTCCAGCAGGCACTGTTTGGCAGAGGAAGCATTGCCAAGCGGCAGGTGCTGCTGATAGGCAGTGCTGTAGGCAGCACGGAACTGGAAGAGCGACATGCCCTCGGGGTGCATGGCCAGGATGTGGGCCACCCGCTGTTTCAGTTCTTCCAGGTCCTTAGAAGGCTGTGAGTTCCTCAAGTTGGATTCTTTGGGCAGCTGGTTATCCCGTGAGTGTACCTCTTTGGCTAGTGGTGATGGCCCACCAGACTGCCATGCAATTGGCTGATGGAGAAGAATGCTGGAGGGAGGGAGGTGATGTGGAAGAATGCCAGTGGGAGGCTGGAAGGAACTCTTGGCCTTGCCTGGCAAAGCACCATGAGGCTCCTGGGAGGATGGAAAAAATGGAAAAGTGGCAGATGGGACATGCATGCTGCTGTTGTTGAGCCAGTTCTGCACTCCTGGAGACACAAAAGCAGCTGGAACAGGTGGGCTCCAATTCTGTGATTTATTTCCAGAGGGATTGCAGACGTTGAACGAAGGCTTAAAGATGCCACCAAAGTCTAAGAAAAAAGAGAAGGAGGCCATTACTGCTGGGTCAGTCGACAGAGGATGTTTATTTGTTAAAAAATATTTGTAACTCATGTCTCTGCCACAAGCCCCCAAGGTAGTACTACATATATCTATCTATATGGTTTTAAAGACACCCTGCTGGTATCAGCAACACCACCAATCAGAACACAAGGCACAAGAGCAGACAACGGCTGTGACTTGGGATCAAAAAGTCACTAAAGAGAAAGGTGAACTTCTGAAGGGGAGAAAATTCCACAGCTTTGATGCTGCTCCAAAGAAGCTTGTCGGTACCAGCGATGCTTCATAGGATGGGAGCACACAAAGAAGAGCCTTCGCAGGTAGGTTTACAAGAGAGTTGGGAGCCCTGAAGGGATTCAGTGCTTTCCAGATGTTGTGGATTACAATTCCCGTCAGATCCAGCCAGTTTTGCTGCTGGCCAGGGATGATGGGAGCTGTAGCTCAAAACATATGCATGGCACCACATTGGGTACTCCTGAATTTGTGTTTTTAAATTGTAACCCACCCTGTGATCCTTGGATGAAGGGCAGTATAATAATAATAATCCCCAGCATCTTCAGGAAGCCTGGAAAAATACTCCTGCCTGAAATCCTGGAGAACTGATGGATCGGTAGACAATACTGAACGAGATGGTCCAAATGATCAGTCTTGGTAGAGGACAGCTTCCAATGTTGCCAAAAAATTCAATGACGTGAAGAAATTTGAACAAACCGTTGAACTGTGCGCATCTTAGTCCGCCTGACTGTGTTAACTATCTATTTCCTAGTTTTCCCCTTTGTCTTCTGTCATCTCTCTGTTATTTGCCTATGGAATCTCCATGTTCCAAGGTCAGCTAAGACTCTGAGAAGGACAGTTTTACCACAAAGGAATCCATGAGCAAAAGCATTGTATTTGTTCTAGCCAGACAAATGGAGGGAACAAATAAGAATTGTTTGTTCTGGCAACCTTTTAATGAGTTACAAGCTACAACAGAATCCTGCCCTGTGCCCTGATTAATGCCAATATATTACAGAACCCTTTCAATACCCGAATGGCAGCTGTAACCATCCTTAAAAGAAAGTCCACTGTAAGTTTAAATGGCATAGAGACAGCTGCATAGAGACGGTGGTTTTACTCAAAGCTGACTCGCTGAAATTAATGGATGTAACTTAGTCGTGATCATTAATTTCCATGGCTCTACCCTGAATAAAACTTGCCTGAATACCACTCTGAGATAGTATCCCATTGATCTCCTTGCATAGACTGGATCCAATTATATCTTGCATCCTGCCTAGATTTTCTTACTATGTGCGGTCACATTAATGACCACCATAATAATGTGAATTATGGTGACCTTTGGTCGTTAAGGAACCATTCTTTAAGCATTATAGAATGATGCTAGTGCTACGTCTAAGGATGACTAAGACTTATTAGGAAGCGGCAACTGTTTCATCTTTTGAAGACCTCGTAACAGTCAACACATGCCCTAGCAAGCAAGATGGATTTCCAGATTACTTACCATCTACAGAAAATAAATCATCTCTGTAAACCATCTTAGGAAGTTAGCTCAATTTGTCTGTCAGTACAAACTGTGCTCTCTGTGACTTAAACTATTGTTCTCCTGCATCACCATCCCTGCATGGGTGAGAACAGAAAGGAGTCACCTTGGAGATTTACCTGGTGCACAGTTTGCTTGCTGGACCACTTTTGCTGGATGCAAGAGAGGCACAGGGGCAACAAGCAGAGGAGGGGCAGTCTTAACACCAGGACCTAAACAAGAAGAGAGGGACAGAAATAGTCATATTAACCAGGAGGGATGTTTACATAGTCCAAGCAGTAATATTTCTCTTTCTCTAATGAAGCAGAGGCTGGATGGCCACATTATCAGGAATGCTGTAGTTGATTTCCTGCACTGACAAGCGGTTGGTTTCCTTCCAACCCAAAAGATTCCATGACCAGTGAAGGGCTCAGCAGAGTTGTGCATCTAAAATCAGATACAGGCCACAACCTGTTTACGCCTGTCCAATAAGTGTGCGACCGCACACACGTGCATTGGACCAAACCCAGAAGTTACCCAAAAACATCCCAAAAAGAAAAAACATCCAGGCTTGAGGTGAAACACAGAACAGATACTTAAGTGGTTGTTCCATGAACTAGCCATTACTGGGAGACATGCAGAAATTATGCTGAATTGGACAGTAGCATTGCAGACTTTTCTGACTTCAACTTACATTTCGCCGTTTTCTTTTTCTGCTTCTTTTTCATTTTGCTTTTTCCTAAGTTGGAGAAGGGGGGGCAGTGTTGATTCAGGAGCCTTCCTAACAACCTGAGGTTAGGCTTACTCATGCCTGATTTCAGACAAACAGGACTTTCCCAATGCAACTGAGAGACCAACTGAGAGCTAACGATTATTGGTTCAATTTGAAGGACGTTATTTCCCCAGATGACCAAAGCTGACAAATTAAATCAATTCTATGAATAGATGAGCAAAAGTAAGTTGCTGGTGGTGATAATGACTGAAGAGGATATTGGAATAATATATCTGCTTATGGAATAATATACCATTTGGCAATTTGTTGGTTTTTTAAAAATAAACCCCCTGGCCACAATGGTATATAATTCTTGAGACTTACTGTATTTTTCGCTCTATAGGACACACTTTTTCCCTCCTAAACATCAAGGGAAAATGTGTGTGCATCCTATGGAGCGAATGCAGGGGGGAGGCAGGCAGGAAAAGCCCCCAAGAGCCGCACACAAGCTCTGTGCGGCTCTTGTGGGCTTTTCCCCAGGAGGGAGAAGGGACTGACTGGCCGCATCAGTCCCTTCTCCCACCTCGTAGAAAAGCCGACAGGAGCCACGCACCATTTAAAGAGTGTGCGGCTTCTGCGGGAGGTGGGGGAATCCCCCCACCTCCCAGAAAAGCCAGGAGACGTCGCGCAGCCCCTTTAAAGAGCACGCCGCTCTTGGGGGCTTTTCACCCCAAGGAGGGACAAGGGACTGACTGGCTGAGTCAGTCCCTTCTCCCTCCTGTGGGCTTTTGCGGGAGATGGGGGAATTCCCCCACCTCCCGCAAAAGCAGGGAGGAGGTCTGGGAGAAGCGCACAGGCTGCGTGCAGCCTGTCTGCTGCTCCCAGAGCTGGGGGGGGTGTCATATTTTTTTCCTTGATTTCCCCCTCTGAAAACTAGGTGCGCCCTATGGTCAGGTGCGCCCTATAGAGTGAAAAATACGGTACTTCTGCGTCATTTGAATTGCATTGTGAAGTCCCACTACATTCAGTAAGTCCCAGGAAAGCATGCAACTTTAGAGCAAAGGAGCATTGAGTCTCATTTCCTGTTTGGTTCTGGCTCAGGAAAGAATTCAGATTTGGTGGTTATGAGACCAGGAACCAAAATGCAATCTAGCTGTGCTGGCTATCCCAGACAACATGGGAGTGGAATGTTGCAGTCAGTCTTTCCCCCTCCAAAATTCACCTGATCCAATCGAAACAACACATTTAAGTCTGTCCTCTCGGTATCTGATGTTCAAGTTAGGCATCTGATGCTCCAAAAACTCCAGTGTGTCCTTGTGGCCTTGGGCAATGCTGAACTTCTCCAGGTCAATTTTTTGCTTGGCCAGCAGGAGCTCCTGCACTTTCTCAACCCTCAGACCTTCGCTGTATGTGCTTATGAGGTTGGTGAGTAATGCCAAGACATCTGTCAGCGAAGCTAGAGGAGGGGAAAAACATATTAGCATGAAGACTAGAGTGAGGTAGCAGCAGCAAGCAAAGATGGGGCAAAGGAAAAGCAACTGGGAAGAAATATATGGTGCTGCTCCTGCTCCAGCCAAGCTTGCTGTTTTATTTCACTTTAGTTCTTAGGATTCCTGGCATATTGGTTGTATTTTATAAAATGTCACAAACTACTTTGAGAAATCTAATCCTCTTAAATAAAACTCAGAAAAAATCTGCGCACCAAGTCAAATATTAACACAATGTTTTCTTTAAAATGTCAATACACTTTGGGAGTGTTACCGATCAGGAAGAGGCCAATATTCTTCTACAATTGAAGGACTAAGCCATCATCAGACCTGTGCCATTGATTTCAGGGAGAAGAAAAGGCTAAGGAGTAAACCCTACACAAATCTGGAGTCGCTAAGATGGTTGGATGGCGTCGTTTGTGCTTCATTCTGGCAACTCCTGCAACCAAGCTGGTGTCAAACGTTTTGCTCTGCTTTCCTATGGACCATATTAGCAAGGCCAAGGGGGTGGGGATCTTGTCATCTGGGTATCCCAGGACCTCCATACACACTGCCCAGGCTTGAGGTGCACTCTGTTGTCTCTCGAGACAGATGGATGCCAACAACTCCAAGAATAACTAAATCTCCCAAGGATCTCTCACCATTTTCAACCTTACAGGAACCTTGTGAGGTCACAGTTACTGTAAGGCTGAGAAATTGAACAAAGTCACACAGTGAGTTTCATGACTGGGTGGGGAAATGAACCTGGGACTCCCCAATCCTACTCTGGCATTCTGACTACAATGGTACTTCGGTTCTTGAACTTAATCCATTTTGGGAGTCTGTTCAACTCCTGAAACTGTTCAAAAACCAAAGTGCAGCTTCCAATTGGCTGCAGAAGATTCCTGCACTCAAATGGAAGCCATGTCGGACGTTCAGTTTCCAACAAAATGTTCGCAAACTGGAAAACCTACTACCAGGTTTGCGGCATTGAGGAACCAATTTGTTTGGCAACAAAGCTGTTTGGGAACCAAGGTTTGACCGTAGTCTACTTCACCAGTAAATCAAGCCAGAACAGTGTGTACCACGGATTCTATGATTCTATAAAGCATGGGGAATCTTACAACTAACAACGCAAAAGGTTTTTAGTCTTTACGGTTGCAAGAGTAAGCAGAAAGTATCTATTTCTGAATAAACATGCCTGGGACTGTATTCACAATTGTGATCCTGCACAAACACCAATATGAACAGAACACAGAAGCAAGTCCCACGACTGCAGAGATACTTTACCCAATACCAAGGCATACAAATCAATGGTGAATGTGATACAAATACTCTAGCTGGCCTTTACACTCCCAATCCCTCTGTCAGGCCTCTGTGCTCCTTCTGCACCTGGACCCAGAATCCTCCAGAGTTAAATGCAGTCTTACCAGGCTTTTTTTTTAGCACATTTTGGTTCACGGGTTTTGATTTCCCAGCAGGCCGTTGCATGTTTAAGGGGACAGAAGCACAGGACCGGGGCACAGTGGAAGGGCAGGAAGCTGGAAGAGAAAGGAAGAAGGAAATCCAATTTTTCTGCTTTTTTCAAATTTCAAAAAAAAAACCACACCATTTGATAGAAATATGCCAGTTTGGTCCCATGCCGTCTCCTTCTGCACCTGGACCCAGGGTGTTGGACTTGGGAGACCTGGGTTCAAATCCCTCTCAGTCACAATCTCTCAGCCTAACCTACCTCACAGGGTTGTTGTGATGATACAAGTGGGAAGGAAGAGAACCATGACACCTTAAGCTCCCTGGAGGAAAGGTGTGATATCAAGTTAGTAAGATATAGAGTGGGATATAAAGGAAGTTAGTCACAGTTTGGCCAGAAAGAAAAAAAGCAAAGAAACCCTTGGAATCAGTATAACAGCAATTTACAGAAAGTTATGAGCGTGACTACAATATACAATACGTAAGCTCCAAAGAACTAGGGTTGCCATATCTTGAAGAGCAAAAAAGAGGACAGCCCAAGCCAGGCAAATAGGTGCGTAGGGCCGCCCATGCGCCTCTTTCCCTACTCAGGCTGGCAGCAGCTGTGGCATGCGGAGCAGCCTGTGCCCAAGCCACACAAACCCCAAAATAAAATAAAAATACCCCCACCAAAAAAACTATACATTTCCTTTGAAATGTAAAAATCCCCCCAGATAGGCATGTTGGTCCCCCAAAAGAGGACATGTCCAGGATTTCCCGGACGTATGGCAACCATACCACAAACTTTAAAATGTCTGTGGTTTGGGTTTTTTTAAAGGAACATGTTATTAGGCCTCACCATCACAGAGACATCTCACCTGGCTTTGTTTCCTTTAAGTCTTGAGACAGGGTGTTTGATTCTTTGGAAGATGGAGATTTATCCAAAGAGGGACCTGCACCGAATGAGGCAGGGGGGAGGCCAAGACTACCGGAGAGAAGTTGAACCACACAGTTGTCGGGCCACTTGCCATTTGTGAAAGAGTAGCGAAGGCCCGGCACATCCAGGAGGCAAGACATTACATCTTTATACCCCAAATCTTGGCTGAAAGTCTCTAGGTCAAACCCATGCTTCTTCTCTAGGTTTTCCTTCAGTGTCTTTATATTCAGACCAGCGGGATGGTTTCCAAGAACATTGAGGATTGGCACCAAGACAGCAGCCAGGTCTGAAAAGGAAGGATGTACTATTTCAACCTGGTGAAAGTCATGTCGATACTACTTATCTCCACATTGGAGAATTGGGGCTCAGGCTGCAAGAAACTTAGGCTGCAGGACACTTAGTTAACACATGGCCAGGGTGAGATTTGCTTAGGCTGCCAATTGTCATCCTACACTAGTTCTCTATAGCTACTACGTAGCTGTACTCGGTATAGAGAATGGAGAATGCAGTCCCCCTTCTCATCAAGTGGACAGAAGTGGAAGACTCCTCCCAGTTGCCCCAACAGACATCGTATACAGACTAGCCTCATAATGCTCACCTCTAGCAACTGGAAAAATAACAGCCCTCCTATTCTATGCTACCTGCTCTGCAGCGTCAGTGCTTTTGAGGAGCTCTGGCTGATACTTGGGCTTTTCAGGGGTGGAGGTGGAATGGATCAGGCAACTTTGTCTCCCTAACTGAAGCTTAGTTAGGTATCCTGGGTGGGAAAGGCACCGTAGACCCATCAGAGTCTGGAGTTCCCCACTGCTGAAAGTGCTTCATCTGTTGCCTCGGGTTTTCAAAAATGGCCCAGAGTCATGTGCTAAGAGTCGCATCTCTGAGAGGTAATTTGACTGAAAGCTGCAATGGGCTAGAAAAGGCAGAGCCCTAGAGACATACCTGAAACGGGAGACTTGTTACATCTCTAACATGGAGGTGTTTACCCCCAGGCGGGTATATCTGTATGTCTCCTCTGATAGGAAAAACTCCCAAGTGCTTGACTATTGGCGCCAAGTCTTCCCCCAACAGGGTGGCCATTTTGAGACGCCATGTTTCAGGTTGCTCCAATTTCTGGAATTCCCTCTGTAAACTAGGAGTTGCATGAAGAGAAGCAAAGTACCTATCCACACTTAGAGTGCTTAAGATCTACATTAAACAGACATGGGATTGAAGTAGTGGGGATAAGATTAAGCATAGGTGGAGTGGTGGTTGGGGTTGAGTGGAGTCACAATTCAAAATGAAGAGGACAAGCCACCCATGTACCACATTCCAGATGCTACCTGCAGCACCAAAAAAACCTCAGGGTTCAAAACAAAAACTTACCAGACTTCTTTCCCATCAGCGTCTGGGGCACAGAATTTGAGTTGCAGGCAGAGAAACCAGCATCAAGCGAGGGAACAGGGCTAGGGGAACCTACCAGAGGAGAAAACAAAGGTATTGCTGAGGTGGGTCTTGAAGAAAAGAATAGGGACCCAACAGATTTAAACACGGCAGCAGGCCATGGGACAGAGTGAGGATGAAAGTGGTCACACGTAGGCCTATAGTTTAGCTCCCCTTGATAAACCATGAGCAGTAAGCCACTGTTCAAACCTTAACTGAACTGAGAAACTGAAAAGGAAGTCTCTGATCACATTTGGCAGAAAGGGCCACATCAACAACAACTCCTGTCATTGAAAAGGTGGGATACTCCTGACAGGTCAGGGAGCTGCAGCCTTGAGTATTGTTCCCCAACCACCTCCCAGGCTATTTTGCAGGTCAGGCATTTTTCTGTTACATTTTCTTGGGACCGCCATATACTAATGCGATCTATGGCAGACTATCTAGCATCCAGCTTTTTGAAAATCTTCAAGCAAAGATTTGAAGTGTCTGTGTATGGGGGGGGGGGGAGAGTCCTCCCTGCATAGGTCAGCTGCATGCCTCCCCCCCACACACATTCAACTCAGTCCTTTCAAACTAACTGCTTTTGAAGGGCACCAGAGTCTATCTTTGGCCCCATATGGGGCTTTAGTACCCACAGAGCAATTAATGGATCAAGTGTAGATACAGCTGTGCATCCAGAATTCCTAGGCAGCCTTACCGGAGTTATTTATCATTAGCCCATCACTTGTGGTATGTGAGCTGCATACAGAAAAATCCGAGTCCAAGGAAGGAGCTGAGCTAGAGGGACCTGGGACATGACATAAAGAGACAGGTTATGAAACATACCTTCTGTGTTCAGAGTAACATGACATAAGCCAATCACGTGTCACGGCCTGCACACTATCTGCAGGCTTTACAGGTAGTTCTTTGCTTATCAAGAGAGAAATCCAGCTTGCACATCACCAGTGAGCCCAGGTTAAAAGATGGGAATTGCAGAAAGAAAAAGAAGGCATATGAGACAGCCAAAATACCAGGCAGACTGGAGAAGAGAAGAAGAGTTTGGATTTGATATCCCACTTTATCACTACCCGAAGGAGTCTCAAAGCGGCTAACATTCTCCTTTCCCTTCCTCCCCCACAACAAACACTCTGTGAGGTGAACGGGGCTGAGAGACTTCAAAGAAGTGTGACTAGCCCAAGGTCACCCAGCAGCTGCATGTGGAGGAGCGGAGACGCGAACCCGGTTCCCCAGATTACAGATCTATCGCTCTTAAGCACTACACCTGGAGACTGGAGAGCCTCATGTGACAAAACCTACCTCATTGCTGTTACTTCTGAAGACTATCTTACCGAGCCCAGCCTTGCCCTTGTACTCTCCCTGAAGCCAATTCATACACCCTTGCCCAGGCCAACAATGAGGCTGGCACTCTAAAACAGTCACAGAATTGGGGTATGTGTTGAACTCACAAGTGATAACATTTCAATCTTTGCCTTACGCGATTCGAGCTGGATGACGCAATTCCGAGTCCTATTGCTGTTTCTGAGAATCAGACCAGGAATATCCTGCAGGCAGGACACCGTGTCTTTGTAGCCCAGATCACGGCGGAACATCTCCAGGTCAAATCCACAATTCTCTAGCAGGGCCTTTTTCAGGTTCTTCACCTTCAGACCCTTAGTATGGCATTCAAGGACGGCCCGGATTGGCACCAAGGCAGCTGACAGATCTGAAATGAAAGCAGTGGATTCACTTCTCATGTCTATTGTACCCTGCACTATGACGGCACTTTCAGGATTCTGCAGGTGTGGTAAGCAGAAAGGCTTGGCTAGAAAGAAACCTATAATGGATACCCCGTGAACAACAATGAGTTCAGGAACTTGCTTTTAGCAAGGAGTTTGATGGAACTATTGCAGAATCAGAGATTGAAGCCATGGCCTAGGAACCACAGGACATACGATCCAGTCTCCTGCCAAGTGTAAGTCATTTGTCGCTTACACACACAGCAACATTACTTAAAGCAGCTCATTTACAGGATGTATGGCTTTAAAGGAGAATGTATTAAAAATGATGTAGAGATGGCATTTGACGCCAATAAAATTAGCTAAAATGTATAGGAAAAGAGACAGAAAATGTTGGAAATGTAGGGAAATAGATGGAGATTACTTTCATATGTGGTGGACTTGTGGCAAGGTAAAAAGATTCTGGGAGTTAATCTATAATGAACTTAAAAAGATATTTAAGTATACTTTTCCTAAAAGACCAGAGGCATTTTTGCTAGGTCTGGTGGGAAAAGAAATTAAAATAAAAGACCAGAACTCGTTCATGCATGCCACAGCTGCCGCAAGAACTTTACTGGCCCAAAGATGGAAAACACAAGATTTACCAAACATCTAGAAGTGGCAGGTGAAGATGATAGATTTTGCGGAACTTACCAAATTGACAGGAAGGATCCGGGACCAAGAGGACCAGAGATACAATAACAATTGGAATAAATTTATTGAATATATAAAGGAGAACAACAAAAATATTAAGACACTAGCAGGACTGGAATAACACCTCCAATGTAAAAGAGTAGAGTTATGACAATAATATACGCAAAAAGTATGTGATGTATATACCAGTGGTCAGGAGGAAAGTCAGGACTCAGCAGAGTCAAAGGGATTATAATGTGACAATAAGGATTGTTGGAAAAAGAATTACATGTTGAAAACAATAAAAATTTATTTGGAAAAAAAAGAGAAAAAAAGCAGCTCACTGTTTTACCTGGTGTCTGGCTTGCTGGTTCTTCCACAAGGTTCTCGGTAATGACAGAAGAAAAAGGTGCAGAGGGATCTATAAGAGAAAAATCAAATCAGTCAGGAATCAGTTTCAGAATCAGTTTCTCAGCATCTGCGTAATAACTGGAAACAGGGAAGCAAATTTTGAGCCACAGGAATTTGTTCTCAGTGGAGAAAAGAGTACTCAATATAACGCTCAGAGCACTCTTTTAATCATGACATGCTGAACGGTCAAGGCCTAGTATTCAGCGTCTCAGTTCTAAGACTCCTTAGTTCTACTTTTGAGTTTCCTTCACATTTCACTCTGTTAGTCTGGCCTCTTCCCTCTTTGTCTCTTGTCCTTAACAAAAATGTAACCTGTGAACTCTCTGGGACAGGGAGCTATAATTATTGCTTAAGAAACTCTGTAAAGTGTACATTGACTGGACTACAAATAACAGCAACAAGTTTTCATAATATGGCTTCACTCCACTTAATAAATCTTCGGAGTGGGGATGAATTCTGCATCAGTAAGTGCTGTAATCTTGGACAATAACAACATGGATGGGGAAATCCAACACAGCAACTTCCGGAACCACCCCCTCAGATTTTAAATTGTTTGTCTGTGTTGTGGTTAACACACAGCTCTCAAGGAAGCAGGATGGTGATAGTTAAAGGAAAGGGTAATACAAATTCAAGTAGACAGCTATTAACTAGAAAACTAAACCGAACCTAAAGGTTTAGAAGTGCTATACCTCTAAATACCAGTTGTGGGTGAGGGAGGGGAACTGTCAACATCTGAAAAGGGCTACTGCCTTCATAACCTGTTCATGGGCTTCCTAAAAACACCTGGTAGGCCAAGATGTGAAACAGGACATTATACTAAATTGAGGGTAGAAAAATCTGTGGCCTTCCAGGTGTCGCTGGACTACAATTCTCATTATTTTATGGCCATCAGTCCTGCTGGCTGGGTTGCTGAGAGCTGGAAGTCCAACCATATCTAGAGGGCCACAGCTTCCTTAACCTGGCTTACTGAGCTTATGCTGGATCCAGTGTTAGAAAATGGGATAGGAAAGCTAGGAGCCAAATGGCTTCTGGGGCCTGGATTGTGGGCGACCAAAACAGAATGTCTAGTCACCACGGGGGAGGGGGGGAGTCGGCAACACTTTTTATTTATTAATTTGATAAGCATCAATTAATACGCAATTCACATAAGTGACACATTGTTAATATCACATTTTTAGCATAAATTGTTAATACTGTACATGTTTAATTTGCTGTTTACAATATTGGTACCATACTTTAGTTTTCAAAACACTCTACTCTTTATTGTTAACATATTGTCTCTTTAAACATATACTTCCAAGGCTTTAAAGCACATTCATTTTAATAATCCTTGAGTGTCAGCCAGGCACAAGAAATGTTACCCAGACTTTTGGAGCTGTTTGCAAATGAAGAATCTTTAGGCGCAAAATGTGCCTGGTGCCCTGCTAATATCAAACCTGGCTGGATCTTACATGAAGTGGGCAGTCAAAACTTTCAACTGCGACCCCCCAAGTTGGTTTTTTAATGTATTAATTATGGAGAAGATCAGAAGCAACCCCATCTCTCCCCACCAAAAAAAAATTCAAATTCAGCTTCTTGCCTTGTACCTTCAAAAAGCTGAACCACGCAGTTGAGTCTGTTCTGTTGGTATGTGATGTTTAAATTCGGCATTCGCTGTTCCAAAAATTCCAGTGTGTCTGCGTAGCCTTGACGAACGCTGAGCTTCTCTAGGTCAATTCCAGCACTAGCAAGAAACAATTTCTGTAGTTTCTTAATCCTCAAACCCGAGTGGTACCTCTTTAGAAGACTGAAGAGCAACCCCAAGACTCCTGCCAGAGCTGCCAAACAATGCAGATTGCAAATCAAAATTCCTTCAGACAGTGATATGATGCAGAGCAATCCAGATCTCAACTCACTTATTTTTAGAAAGACATCCTTAAGAACCCAGAATGCTCAACCTTAAAATGAGCTAAGCACTATAACCATTCCCCTCTGGCTCCAGTCTATTCCATGTCCCCCCTCCCATTCACTTACCTGTCTGCTGCTGCTACACCCTTCCACACCCATTCACATATAATCCCCCAAACTCCATTACCTCACGAAAGTGGTAACTGTTGCCACTGGCAAAAAGGCTAGACAGAAAGCTTCTCCCCAGCCCCCTCTTCCCCCTCTATGCCACCTCCGCAATGCTTGGAACGCTGCTATGGCAGTACCTAGGCTCAGGAACCCTATCCTGAAAGCTAAGAACAAATTGCCCACATCCTTATTTGAGTCTCAGCATTAAGGCTCCTCAGCACTACCTTAAAAGTCTCCTGGACATTGCCAATTCTCATCCAGCAACGTTGTACTGTATTTGGTTGTCTGAATCTATCTTTCATGGAAGATTTTGCAGCCCAAGTTTGGATGATACTGAGCTTCCCACGTTCCTCCATGGATGAGTTTTAGTGCAGATGTGAGTTCTAGGGCCAACCAGAATTGTATTTACTTATTAACTCAGAAAGACAGCTAATATTTGTATTGGAGAATTAAATTTGGCTGCCAGTCTCCAACAACACAGACTTGGATTTTTCTGTTTTGTTTGGAGCTGGTTTTAATGTGCATGCTATTTATTGCCGTAAGCCGCTTTGAGTTACTTTTGTGTTGTTAAAGAAGTGACTAATAAGCTTAATAAATAATGGTTTTAATACGTAAGGTATACATTTACCCGTTTCTCCTCCAGGGTCTTCTTCATCTGTTGACCTCAAAGCTGGCCCTTCAGAGATGTCCACCCCATTCTCTCTTCCTTCAGCCCATTGGCCAGGATGGAATCCATTCGCTAGCTTTATGACTGGGACCTGTGAGTCACCATCTTCCACAACCACAAAGTCCTTCATTTCAGCCAGAAACTGCTTGAGCGAGCTGTACCCATGACGAGTGATTTGAAGCTGGTAGCCATGCAGCCGGTGAAAGGCCCCAGCAAAGTCCCCAAAATTGAGTCCCAGGGGGTTCCTGAGCAGTAGGTGCAGCACATTGCGCTTCAGGGCATTGGGGTCCCCCTCTTCCAAGGCCATGAGCCCTGAAGTCTGGTGGAAACATCAAAGAAAAAATAGTACCAGGTGATTCACTTCCCCGGAGATCCTCCCTGCCTTACATCATTTGTTTTCTGTGGCTCTGAGTTACGACACCATCAGTGCGCTTCCTCTGCATGATGGAAAAACTCACGAGACACTGCAGCTTGGGCATTTCCGGAAGAGCTTTACGCCAGACTGGCTTTTGGTGGCATTATTTTGATATAAGAGAGGTTTGCACACTCTTTGTAGTAAAATGGGGGAGGGGGAGAGACCTGGGCTATCCCTGCCCCCCACAATAAACACCACAGCCATTCTTCCTGCCTGCAGTGCATGTTCAGACAGCATGGAAAAGGATTACAGTTCCTCCATTACCTGAGGAATAGCTCAGTTGGTAGAGTATGAGACTTTTAATCTCAGGGTTGTGGGTTCAAGCCCCACATTGGGTGAAAGATTCCTCCATTTCCGGGGGTTGGACTCTAGATTATCATCATGGTCCTTTCCAACTCTATGCGGGGAGGGACTCCAGTCAGGGTCCCTCTCTGCACGCTGGAGCTCTTTTCACATGCAACAGCCCTATTGGCTGTTATTTACTCTGAGCTTCAAGGGGGAAGTCAATGCGGCTTACCTCCAGGCAAGTATACAGTATTGCAGCCTTAAATCGCAGCCCTAGGTAAAGGTAAAGGGACCCCTGACCATTAGGTCCAGTCGTGACTGACTCTGGGGTTGTGGCGCTCATCTCGCTTTACTGGCCGAGGGAGCTGGCGTTTGTCCACAGACAGCTTCCAGGTCATGTGGCCAGCATAACTAAGCCGCTTATGGCGAACCAGAGCAGCGCACAGAAACGCCGTTTACCTTCCTGCCGGAGCAGTACCTATTTATCTACTTACACTTTGACGTGCTTTCAAACTGCTAGGTTGGCAGGAGCAGGGACCGAGCAACAGGCGCTCACCCCGTCGCGGGGATTCGAACCGCCCATCTTCTGATCGGCAAGTCCTAAATTCTGTGGTTTAACCCACAGCGCCACCCGCGTCCCCAAAAAATCGCAGCCCTAACCTTGTCTAAATCCCATTTAATTAAATAAGGCCTTCCTCCAAGTGATGTTAGGATTGTAGCTTTAGCCTAGATCCAGCCAACTTTGGTTACTGAATGGAGTAGGAAAAACATCGTTTACTTTGTTGCTCAGGGCAGGAGGGATCTCTCAGCAGTATAAACTGCTTCTGCCAGAATCTGGGGCTAAACTTATCAGCTCCGGCACAGATTAACCACCCAGCCTACCCTTCGTTTACTCAAGATAAGCCTCTCCCAAATCGGTCGTGGTAAATTCTTAGTAAACACTGTGAACAGTCCTATGCGATGTTTCTTGGGGCTGAGACTGAATTCGTGTACCCATCGAACCGACGGGGATTCGATTCTGAGTAGGCACTACCACAGATCGCTTCGGATTTCATTTTTAAATTTTAGTTGTAATTACACGGTAAGGGAAAGAGCCGAGCACCGCTAATGCGCTGATCGCAACTCTGCAGCAAACTGCTGATTCAGAGGGGGCGTGGAGCGGGGCTGCGGGGGAGGAGGACAAAAGCCCACGTGAGTTAAAATGCAACAACAGCCCTCTCCCACCCGCCAGGAACAGGACATTTATTCAGAGTTTAAGTCCTCACCTAGATCGGGTTCTTCCTCCTCCAGCTGAATTGGGGAAATGAGGCAGAAACAGGAAGCGTTCAGCAACTCTGCAGGAAACAATAAGAGCTGGCTGCTTTAGTTTCTATTTCTCTTCGTCACATGATCGCGCCTCTTGCCGCATGGTATTTGAGTCACAGCATCCTCCCTAGTTTGGGAGGGTAGGAAAGATGCCTTGGGAGACCAGCGTCTTCCTTTTCTATCACCCAGGGTCTCGTTTCGTTTTTATAGTACAGTAGAAGCCTAGACATTGTCTACTCAGAAGTCAAAACCACTGGGCTTTACTCCCAGGTAAAGTAAGTTTCAGCCCCAGTTGCTTTGGGGGAGGGGAGAAAGGAAATGTGGGGGATGCAAGTGATTTGAGCACATGCTGTGATGTGGGAACTGAATGCCTGCGGATGTGGGTTGAACTTTCAGCTCGCGTGACAACCTTATTGTAGCTCGAGGTGAGGACTTAAAAGGGGAGGGTTAAGCATGCAAACGCCATCAAACATCCCCTCGCACATGGACTGCTCTTCAGATCTTGAGTAAGTTTAGAAGCCTCCCTTTGGCTGCACATTCATTTTAAAAGCGTATGACTTTCTCCAAAGGATTCTGGGAACTGTAGTTTACCCCTCACTGAGCTACAATTCCCGGGATTCTCTGGGGGAAGTCGTCTGCTTTAAATGTGTGGTGGGTAGGCTTTACATGTTCAGCAGAACGTGCGTAGAAACCCCCTCCCTCCCTTTGTCTAAACATGCAACAGTTTAAAGATACGCAAGGATATTGGAAGTTGTATTTGCATGCACAACCCCCCTCCATCTTCCTTTAAGTCAGGGTTTCCCAAACTTGGATCTCCTGCTGATTTTTTGGACTACAGTTCCCATCACTCCTGACCACTGGTCCTGCTAGTTAGGGATGGTGGGAGTTGTGGTCCCACCCCCCCAAAAAAGGAAACCAACAACGCACCAGCTGGAGACCTAAGTTTGGGAAACACTGCTGTAAACCAGGCTTCCTCAAACTCGGCCCTCCAGGTGTTTTTGGCCTACAACTCCCATGATCCCTAGCTAGCAGGGCCAGTGGTCAGGGATGATGGGAATTGTAGTCTCAAAACATCTGGAGGGTCGAGTTTGAGGAAGCCTGCTGTAGACAAAAGTATCTGACAGTTGTTTCATAATTCCCAGGTTTCCCCACCACCCTTCTTTTTGCATCCAAGCCCCACAAATTCTAAGCCTAACTCTGGCTTCAGATTTAGGATGCTCACCTCTTTAAAATGACTGATCTTTAGGGCTCCTCCGTGACAAGTATTTTATAGTGCAAGAAATGGCAGTTCTATTTCCACCACGCCAGGGCACACAGAGGACAGCAGTTCCATATCTGCTCAGACCAGAGGTGCCTCAAAGGCAACTGACTTGTTGGAATTTGCCCTGCATGTCAGAATTTCATCTTCTGGTTGGTGAATGGCATAGGGAGTTACGCTGAACTTTGGGTTATGGTTTCCATTCTTCAGATCCCAATAATGAAACTTATCCAGATCAGTGACTGACTGAGTTCTTCTTGGCTAATCTAACCTACTCACTCTACCCTTCCCTTTAAGCTGGAGCAGGTAGACCAGGAGAATCAAAACTCCCAAGTCCATTTGGGGTGCCACCATTTTATTTAGACCTGAGCTGAAAATTCTATAAAACACAATTTCCTGACAAATTTTTGAATTTCTTTTCTGAGATCTTCAAAAACTCACAAATAATTTCAAATAATGTTTAGCAAAACAGCATCACCAATATCACCAGTTATGTGAATTTTGGATGCAATTTTGGATCCAGTTTTAATACCGGTCCTGAAAGACCTACATTGGCTCCCAGTACGTTTCTGAGCACAAGTCAAAGCATTGGTGCTGACCTTTAAAGCCCTAAACAGCCTCAGCCCAGTATACCTGAAGGAGCGTCTCCACCCCTGTTGTTCAGCCCGCACACTGAGGTCCAGCTCCGAGGGCCTTCTGGTGGTTCCGTCACTGTGAGATGTGAGGTTACAAGGAACCAGGCAGAGGGCCTTCTTGGTGGTGGCGCCTGCCCTGTGGAATGCCCCCCCCATCAGATGTCAAGGAAATAAACAACTATCTGACTTTTAGAAGACATCTGAAGGCAGCCCTGTTCAGGGAAGTTTTTAATGTGTGATGTTTTATTCTGTTTTTAATCTGTTGGCAGCCACCCAGAGTAGCTGGGGATACCCAGCCAGATGGACGCGGTATAAATAAATGATGATGATGATTACTGTTTAATTATAAAATTAATATTTTTGAAGGAAGTAATGGACTTTACTCCTACTTCTTCCAGTCTTCCTCTCTTAGCCAGTTGGTTCCAAAAGTCTGTTTAAAAACACCATCTGTAATATTTGGCAAAATACACTCCCAATTTGCTGTGCACAGAAAGTGTAGAGAATTTTAGGAGGCCCTTTAAAATCAGGGTGGAATTAATTGTTTCCCCTTCTGTGGCTTGTAAGAGCAGCCAACTGAAACACATTCTCTTAGCAAGTAACTTTTTATTTGGCATGGAGGTAAGTGATGAGAAAAGCTTTACCATCCAATTTCCTTGATATGAGATGGCTGCTAGGAGTGCAAAAGCAACCCCACCCCTGGTAGCCCAAATTTATTTCTTAAGAAAATTGTGGATTGGGAAGAAATTGCTACTGTGAATAAATGAGACTGAAATAACTGCTTTTTCATGAGTTGGCCACTGGCTGGCAGCAGAGAGAGTTATATGGAAATAAAACCTGATTTTGCATAGAGGGGTTTTATAGTGTATGACCACATCTGTTGAAACTGATTTAAAAATGTTTAGCAATAGTTACTCCTAAGGTATGAGGGCCTTCTGAAATAGAAAATCAGAAACAAGGTTATATAAATAAAGAATCTTGGGGTACCATAAAGACTAACAATTTTATTTAGCCTCCCTTGGCTAGTGTTTATTTATTTTATTGATTTATTTATAGAAATATTTATATACCACTGTGTCCTAAAAATAATGACAATGAAACGCCAAAAGTGCACACTGAAAATCTCAGTTTAAGTTTAAGTGTATGTGAAATAAGCACAGTGACTATTTATAACACAATCATCCTGGCATTGCTAAGTTAATGAACAACAGTTGGGCATATAAATTTAATTGTTCTTGAATTTATAAAGATCAAAAGCAGCACACACCAACTCTGCATGTCCAAGTGGACTTTGATAGGATTGCCAACTTTTCATCCAGCTTCTTCTATAGCCTTCCTTTAACAGCAACTTGATATGGAGGAAAAATGACCGTAATCACCTGCCAATTGATGCAACTCAAACCACTGTTAGAAGACAGCTGAAAATTTTATAACCCTCTGTTTTGACATAGTGGTCAACCTGTGGTCCTCCAGATTGCAGAGTTGGAAGGGACCCCAAGGGTTATCTAGCCCAACCTCCTGCAGTGCAGGAATCCTGCTCACAGCCATCCCTGGGTGGGCTTGAACCACCAGCCTTCTGGTTAACAGCCAGATGCACTGACCCATGGCACCACAGATGTTGCTGGACTCCAGCTCCCATCAGACCCAGCCACCATGACCAATGGTCAGAGATAAGGGGGGGGGTTGTAAGCAGCATCTGGAGGACTATAGGCTCCTTGCCTCAGTCCAATTGTTTCTTAAACAGCTAGTTTCCATTTGGGTGTAAGCAAGCACCTTTTATGCATTCCCTTATAAGATAGCATTATATCTGGTTATTCAGCACATAACATCCAGTGCCCACCATCTGTCACCGTGCAATACAGCTAACCAATTCTGAAGGAGAGAGTTATTTCTAAAAGCAGGTGTGCATCATGGTCTGCAATGAAAATGAAGTAAGGGTCATAAATTCCAGTAGGCGTACAAAAAGCCAATAGACATGCCTGATGTAGCTGTCTGGCTCCTGGACATATGCATTTGTGTGTAGAAGTATATATAAGTATGCAGGGGCTGTTATATTTCATCTGTAAGCTACAGTATCCAGCCATTGACTGAATTGCTGTGATGTCATAGAATGTTTATCTTTTACTGCCGGGGGGGGAGGGGAGCCGGTCACAGAATATTTGACCAAAAGTGCAGCTGCTGTGCAAGGAAGCAAGTGACAGGGGAGGTGGGGGTGAGGCTTATAGGAGCACAGGGACTGCAGGAGCTGCTGTTGTGGGGAAGCTTGACAAGAGGATAAAGTGGGCATCATATTGAGAAAGGGTAAGGGCAGGAGGAGCTGCGTCTTCTGGCCAAAAAAGGAGGTGGAATGGCTGAAGAAGGCCCATGGATAGATAGGCTTGCCAATTCTTCAACTGGCCTCTCTATAGCTATATTGTTATGGTTAATAAGCTATATTGTAGCTTATTATTATGGTAGCTATATTGTTATGGTTAATAGGCAGGTGTTAGCAGGTAAAACTTCACAGCCTAGAACTGAATATTATGCACTCAGCGAGTGTATGGAGGAGTAGCTTGTCTGCTAGCTAGGAGTCAAGGCTCTCCCTCCCATTAGAATTACCTTCTTTTTAATGAATTGAGTGACAAGAGAGTGCATAGTGCAGACTGGGTATGCCTGAGCAGGGCAAAAGCAGAATCATCATGTTAATCAGCAGTGCTGCGCATACTAATAGGATATTGAGTACCTAGATTTAGTAACTGTATTCTGATTTCTGAAAGGGAAACTCGCAGTAACATGATGACAACTGGCATTTAACATGTCAGAGTAAATGAAGCCTTCAGAGATTCACTCTGGCATGGTCAGTCACAGCTCCTTGCAGTATGAAGACATATTCAGACAAACTGCACAATCACCATTTACAGTGATTTAAGCATGGCTGAGGCAGGAGGCAGACAGATGGTTTTTAAGAGCATGGGTTAAGAGAGGTACTTCTTCCTATGTGCATTTCTTTTTGTCTTACAATCCTTTCTGATTAAAAAAAAAGGTTTTTGAAATAAAACCAAAGCAAAAAAACCCTCATTTATTTATTTTTAGCAGTGAATGTGGGATAGGTGCATAATACCATTAGATTGATCCTAATGAGTTAAGAACCTATGAAAAACCCTACTGGATCAGATTAGGAGCATCTAGTCCAGCGTTTTTGCAGCCAGATGTCTCCAAAAAGACCAAGCGTAGTTCATGAAGGCATCAGTCCTTCCGTTCTTTGTCCCCGGCATCTGAGGCTCAGAGATACACTTTCCCTGAACGCAGAGGTTCCATTTAGCTATTGTTCCTTATCGTTGTGAGTTGCCATTCAGTAGCTTGCACTGAATGGGTTCATCCAAGACCTGCAACAAGTTCCTTGCCATTTATTTATAAGGAAGTATAAAGGGCATAAATAATAAAATCAACCAGAGTTCATACTCTGTGGTGTTAATTGCACCAGGGTTATATGGTCTTGTATATGGGGCTTTGGTATGACAGGCAGGTGTTTACAGGGCTGCAAATCATTTCTGACACCTGCTGTTAAAACAAATATACGCCTTTGAAGAATACCAAAAACAAACACAAGCATTTCTTGAGAAAAGTTGGGGGAGCACCGATTATTTATTTTCTATAATTTTTATATTCTTGCCCAATAATATTCTCTGGGTAGCCTGCAATTTCAATACAATATAAAAATACAGCTAAGCATAAGAGAGAGAGAAGGTTTCAACTTAAGCATGAAACCGTTGGTGGTGGAAACAGAATAAAATTATGTTTATGGAAATAGTCTCAATTATATATATAATTAGGATTTGCTTTTTAAAAAGGCCATAATGCAGGATCATCCAGGAAAAACACCTTAACCCCTATTTACTTCAGTAATAGACCACAAATTCCACACTTTTTTGCCTAATTTCTTGCTTTATAGCAGGTGATTGTGCTTCTCTCCATGGCATCTAAAGCTTCCAATTTCTGCAGATCAAGCTGCTATTAAAAGGCACAAGAAAAGGCCAGGCTGTTTTCCCGATCAGTTGGCAACCCTATGAGAAACAGGCCACAAGGGAAAAGAGAACTGTGCATGTTAATACACGGTCGAGGAAAAGTCTGAAAAGCCAATTGGAGAGAGAGAGTGGCGGAGCCCAGCTCAGAGAGAAAAGCAGCATGTATATACTGTGGTAGAGATGAGGTAAGAAAGAAGAGACTGCTGTGGCCTCTCATCTCGGGTGTCAGAGCTCTCCTCAGGATATGGACTTGCAATGTCCCCGGGAAGGCTTAGCACTACCCAGGCGGGTAACACGGCTGCAGGGCTATTTTGGATCCTGGGATATGTCATGGTAATTATTAAAGCACCTTCTGTCACCACTTTTGGGGCTGTCGGTCTCTTTCTGCAAGCTTGTGCCCCCCCCCAACCCTTGACACAGATGGCCAAGTTGTCTTGGAAATACGACGAGTGTTGAACACAGTCTCTGCCTGCAAGATAGCAACATACACAGGAGGTGGGGTAATGCCAGGAAAATCTTAAGAGCTACAAAGTCCAATTCTCTCTCTCTTGGGTGTTCAGAGCTTGGGTGTTCTAGGGACTGATGAGAACGAGAAGAATAGTTCCCACAATCTCTGTGGACACCTGGAAGTTCCTTTGCCACTACTGTCAGAACCGTAAAGCACACCATGGTGGCAGAGAGAGATACAGTTGTGCCTTGGTTCCGGAACGAAATCCGTTCTGGAAGTCAGTTTGACTTCTGAAAACGTTTGAAAACCAAGGCACGGCTTCTGATTAGCTGCAGGAACTTCCTGTACTCAATTGGAAGCCGCTTTGGACGTCTGGGTTCCAAAGAACGTTGGCAAACCAGAACACTCATATCCGAGTTTGCAGCATTCGGGAGCCAAAACATTCGAGTCGCAAGGCATTCGAGAACCAAGGTACGACTGTATATATATTGTGGTGTTTTGAAACCTTTCAAACATACCCATGGACTGCCTGATCTACAGGGGCTCTGGGTTTTCTGGTGCTCCTTAGTAGAAGCTGCCAATGTGTCCCATTCCTCTCTCTATTACCCTCAGGCCTCACTTGCTTCTTTATAAAGTTGGTCTTTGTTCCAGTTGCTGGTTGTCCAGACGTTGGTTGCTGTTTATGTGGCCTTTCCGCCGTGAGCCTTCGCTGTGCATTTGTCATTGGCCTTGTATGGTCAAGTCTCAGGATGTGTGCCTGTACCCTTATCCTTCGGCCAACCACTCAAGTATCAGTGTCCAGAAATAGCCACGGGAAATTTTGGGGTCGAAATAAAGAGAGCATGAAACATATAGGACTTGCTGAATCCTTGTTTCAGTTTAACCTGGTCAGGAAAGCATGGTGCTGGCATCCTGGGTAGGACAAGATCGACTAGCTGATGGCAGCTTTCTGTGGGATAAAAGAAACCCCCAAAAGTAACTACACACAATTTGCAAGTCCATCGCAATGAGGATCTGAAACATGGTCTCCCAAGTCCTAGCACTGTACCCTAACTCAGGGTTTGCCAACCGATGGGGGCCAGTGGGCAAATTTGGAATTTTAAGGAACTTGTGAGAGCCAGTCGTAATATGGCTACCACATTTGAAAGAGCAGTGATTGAGGAGTGTGCCAAATTGAATAAAATGGGGGGGGGGAGTAAACAACGCCTTCATAATCAGTCACAAGATGTGGCACATGCACATTTGAATGGCAATGTCCATCAACTCGCAGGGGGCTAGTCCCCTCAAATATTTTAGGGGGGGTGAAGGGACCTTCGCCTCTGGGAGTTGGCGCCTAATCACAGTTCTTTCCATGAGTAAAAAGGCACCCACATCAGCCACCACAACGCCCACTCACAGAAAGAACTTCTTTGCATTTCTCCTCTTTTCCGAACAGATGGCAAGGGTGTCCAGTTCTGGCATCCTATGAAATGTGGGCATGCTTAAGGAACGGGGGAGGGGGCTCTCCATTTACTTGGATGTCAATAAAGCTAAGAATATGAGGTGGAGCCAAGATTCATACATTGATGTGAAATGCAGTAAGCCCACAACTTACACGGGGGTTATGTTCCAGGGGTCGTGCCAAAAGCCAAAATCACAGATAGTCAAAGCATACTGGGTTCACTGGGGCTGGGATTGCCAAAGTCCCCTCCCCCCCGACACCCACCCCCTATCTTATTTCTAAATTTTTGGCCAAGCACGTAAACCTGGATGTGCATGAGTTTAATGTGTGTACAGACGATGAGGGTAGGTTTCTAGGCTGTTGAGGCCTCTGTTGTCAGTCCTGGGCCATTATCACACTGCCCTAGCAATCCACATTACAGCTGTCTACAATTATCACCCTGGCCACTTGCTCTCAACCCAGCAGCTTTTTCTGCTGCCACCAAACATTCTTAGCACTTCTGCACACAGTGCTGCACATGCCATCATTTGTGGAGTGCCCGTTGCAGAGGGAGTTTTCTTCCAGGAGAAGCTAACCCCCAGTTCAAGACGTCAACTTTTTCTGGCCCCCAAGACTCAGTGCTGTGAGTTTGGGGGTGGCAGGTGGCTAAACCATAGAAATTAATAAACGGGATTTTTATTATTTGGAGTAATAAAGGGAAGATTGCAGGCTAGTGGAAAATTACAGGCAAAGCTTCATTTCCAAGCCAGGGCCTCACCTGGGATACAGGTGTTAACATGACAAAAGGTGTTGGTGGCCCACCTGAGAGGAATCTTGAGCCTGGGCAGGCATAAGGTTGCCATTCTGATGGGGGAGTGTTTGAGGGGACAGGAAAAGACAGTCTGGAAAGCAAAGTGTGCTGGGAAGAAGAAGGGACGGGGAGGACACACATATCCATCTTGGGCTGGCTGGCTGCAGGCTGGCTGAGAGAGATGCCTTTGACCAGGGTTGCCAACTTGCCCCCCACATTAAGAGGGCCCAGTGACACATTATGCATCCTGCCCCCACCCGGGATGGGGAACACAGAGGGTGATCGCCCCCTATAGTTGGTGCCCCTGCCTTTGACTCCAGTTCTGCACTGCTGTGGGGAACTAGCCCCTCTTGAAGTGACCATGTTGTAAGATCTATACTCCTTCCACACAGACGGAAGGTGTAAATATGTGAATAAAACATATTTCTTAAAGCTATGAAAGTCTCTGCCACATCTTCCATTCTCCCAAGGAGCACAGACCCTGGGTGAGTGCCTGGAACCCCCTGGAATCTTGCTACCATCCAACAGAGAGCGAGGGTGGCACCCAACTTTTGTAACCATACTTTAAAGTAGATACAGTGTTGGGGTGGGCAAAGCAAATTGCTCCCTCCACAGTAATCGAGTCAATCATTTTAAAAGAGAGAGAGAGAGCACCATACAGAGGAAGGTACAAAAATCCAATTAAAATTATCTGTTCCATCTTCCTTATGAATTTCCAAAGGTGTAGCCATGTTAGCCTCTTGTAGTGAAAATGACACAGAGACTTGTGACACCTTAAAAACAAACAAATTTTTGTCATGAGCTTTTGCTGGGGTGTGGAGAGGTGAGACTCAAGCATGCTAGACTGAAAATGTTCCCCACTCTTAGATTATTTTCTGTTCTGTGGGTGTGCAGGAAATCAACAATTCTACCAGTTGCTGTGGAACACAAGTGGGGGAAAGATATTGCAGTCAAATCCTGCTTACAGGCTTCTCATAGCCATTGTGGGAAGTGAATGTTGGACTGACCTTTGACATGATCCAGCAGGTCTCTTCTTATGTTAATATGTACAAAGGCCAAAGAGTAAACATCCAGCAATCGGATTTGATTTTGCATTTTGGTTTACTGACAAATCAAATGGTTTGTTTGCAATCCCCTAAGGCTTAGAAATCCTGACAAAATCCCATGACTTCAAGCGCGTTTATGACTAAAAGAGACTGAGGGGCTTGATCATCCCAGCAGACTAGTAGTCTCGGTTAAGTGAAACAGGAGTTGTCAGCGGCCCCTGGAATCTGTTGCATTTATGGAAATAATGCTAACTATGTGCAATGAGAACATGCAAATAAACTCTGGCTCCCAGCGCATCTCCGGGCGAGTCCATCAATGCCAGAGAAGCAGTCTTTCCCCGGGGGTTGAGTTCTTTCTATACAGCAACATCCTTTTGGGCTGATTAAGAGTGCAAGGGACTCTGGGCACATTGGCAGTGCTTTGTTCTTAATCGGATGGGAGCCAGTGTGGTGTAGTGGTGAGCATGTTGGACTAGGACCTGAGAGACCAGGGTTCAAATCCCTGCTCAGCCATGAAGCCCACAGGGTAATTATGCATCAGTCACTATTTCTTAGCCTAACAGGGTTGTCGAGAAGGCAAAATGGAGAAAGAGGTGTTTGCCACCTTTTGAACTCCTCGGGGGAAAGCCAAAGTATATAAGTAATCTTAAAATGATTAAATGAATCTGGGTGGAATCTTTGCTCTCTCAAGCAGAGAGGACCTGGTATAGAACTGGCAGTGTCGCCTAGGGGTGGGAAAACATCCCGACAGCCGACAATCCTTGGCATTAAAATATAAATTATTGGTTTGTTTTGCCTTTTGTGCTCTTCGTCTGATTGACGTATATGATGGTGGCCAGTATTAAATTCACTTTTTGTTCTGTTTGTTGATTTTAGTGTTACAATGTTATCTGCTTCATAGCATGCCATTTTTGTTTTAAATTGCTTAGTGTTCATTTTGTAGAGAACTTGGGTTATGAGACAATTAAAATATACAATAAATACTGAGTGTTCAATGCACTTCTCATTTATTATCTCAGTGATCCTTTCAGTTGCCTATAAGGTAGGCCAGTATCATTGTCCCCATACTGCACATTAGAAATGGAAATACATTAACTTGCCTAAGGCCTCTAGGACATTCACATGGTGGAGATAATATATGAACTGAGGAATTCCCAGCTCACTGAACAAAACTTATATTTAATTATTGCATTTATACCCCACCTTTTTCTAGGATTGCCATACATCCAGAATTTCCCTTACATACCCAGAATATTGCAGTCTAAAGCAGTGTAGCAACCAATGTTGGCAGTGTCATTTGGCACTCAAAAATAGCTCAACAACTTTGGGCAAAAAAAAAAAAAGCTCAACAACTCCCCCCCTTTTTGAAATATGGTAACCCTACTTTTTTTTTCTGTATAGCTCACGGTGGCTTACATGTTCACCCTCTCCTCATTTACTCCTCACAACAACCCTGTGAGGTTGGTTAGGCTGAGAGTGAGTGGCAGGCCCACCATCACCCGGTGAGCTTCATGGCCAAGTGAGGATCGAAACCTGGTCTCCCAGGTCCTAGTCTGATACTCTAAGCACCACACCTCACTGGCTCTCACTTGCCACGCGGACACTATATAGTTCCTTCTTCTGTCAGTCTAGAGAGGATAAAATAGCAGAGGTTTTTGAGGGCAGGGTGAAGGGATGGGACAAGATACTAAGAGTTTCCCTAAACATCTGTAGGAGCTTTGTTTGTACATGGGCTGGATTAGGCTCAGTTACCAGAGCTCTTTCTCCTTTTGCTCTTTTTCACTTTCCTTTCCTCACAGCCCCTTTTTCAGATAAATAGATGACACATAGTCTACACAGCTATGCAACAGCTCCCTAATACTATAATAGCATAAACACAAAGGATCCTTTACATCTGTGGGGAGAGGGGCCCACATTACAAACATTAGGAATGTCCCCCCATTGAAAATACTGGGACTCTCACCTCTGAGTAATTGTGCATAGGATTGGGTTATAAAGATTAACATCAGTAGCTTTCCCCAGGGAACTCCAGAATTGTAGTTCTGTAAAGGGCTCGGGTTTTACCACAGATGTCGCTGCTTCCTTTCAAAATGATGTTTCCCAGGATTACTTCCCTGGAAGGGAACCAGGGTATAAATTATGTCAGGTTTACATATAAGCGCAGGCACGCCCATAGCCTGTTCTGCCTTTCAGTTACACGCACTTTGAAAGGGAAGAAATAGGATCCATTACAAAACAAAGACCATCTCTGAAGACACCAGCAGCATCAAAGGCAGCTCCGCCTAGAGTGCATTGCAGTAATCTTGTCTTATCAGAGCATGGTGTACTGTGACCAAGTAATGTCCATCCAAAAATGGCATAGTTGGCAAACCAACTCTAGCTGGAAATAGGCACCAAGGCCACCTGGGCCTCAAGCGACAATGTTGGCCCCAGGACTACTCCCAAACTATGAACCTGCTCCTTCCAGGAGTGCACAACCCCACTCAGAACAGGCTGCCTTCACACCTCCTGGTCTCATGAACCTGGAACATGTAACACTTCTGTCTTTCAGGATTCGATTTCCACTTCCACGTCCAGCCCATCCCTGACTCCAAAAGCCTGTTTAGCATCTCTCCTGATTTGGCCTCACAGTTTTTACAAACTAGCCAACATAAAAAGAGTGGTTTGAATTTTAAGGTAGTGACAGCTCCTTCACCTTGGTTAAGGAGATCTGGGCTCACATGTAACACTAAGGCTGTGTCACACTACTGTTTACTCAGACTTCGCTGGTGTTTGAAGCTGCATATGCATGATGTTAGCCACAATTCATGTGTATCCTGTAGTTTCTTGAGAAATGCTGCCGTTTGTTGTATTTAAAGCAGCTTCTGCCTGATTTGAAAACATAAGCTGTGGTGTTTATATTGGAGGTAACCATTGCACATATGCAGATGACAGCTTCATTGGAGTTCGCAGGGGTTGTAAACACAGCAAAACCAAACAGTTAAAGCACTTTAGGTGAATACATCCCCACCCAATTTCTGGCGTGTTCAACAGTGTGCATATAATGAATATGTGGCTTGAAACAGCAGACAACCTTGCATTTCAAGCCACTAATGAATACACAGCCTTAGCTACAACACTAGGTAAGGTTTATAAACCAACTAAAAAGCTTGGTTAATGAGCAACCCTTCAGAAACCTTTGTTAACCTGCTGAGATGGGTTCATACATGGCACTAAGCCACAGTTTAATACACCATGTTTTGGGGTTATGTGTGAACCAGGCCAGTGAAGAAAGCAGGCACCTCGTTTTGCATGCTCAAAACAGGAACTTGCCTTCAGATAGTATGTAGTATCACTCTTGATGCTACAACTACTAGTTACAAGATGTGGGGAGGGCCACACTCTGGGATACCCACTTATTTCTCCTTTCAAAACCACTATGCAGTTTTAAAGGCAGCACTAAAAAAGGCAGATGGGGGCTAGAATGAAATAGGGAACCAGGAAGTGAAAAAAAGGAACTATGAAGAAACTTCACCCTCCCTTGGGTACTTGCTTCCTGTTTCCATCTTCTTCCCCTTAAAGAAATATGCTGAAATTGTGCAGTCAGAATCATTTGCTTCTTTTTTTTATTTTGGGGTGCACCACTTTGGGAACTACAGAGCTGGAAAAATGTCATACAGATGGAAATAATAAATTAAAAAGAGAAAGCTCTTCTCACCCAGGCTTGAGTTCCCACCTGCTTTCTGCTTCGCCCTCCTTGTTATCTCTTTATTCTGTCCTCAAGAGGCACAGATTCCTGACCCTTCCCTCCCCCTTAACAGCCACTCGATGCCTCTTTCAGGACATAACTGAATCCGCCCCACTGCATTAGCCGAAGTGTTGCCCTTTCACGGATCCAGGCACAAGGCCAGTGGCCTCCCACCCTGCAGGCGGCAAGGCTGTGAACAGATCGGTATATTTACAAACACCTCTCTGCTCTGCTTTGCAGCCACAGCAGCTGCTACTATGCCAGGGTGACAAGGGTGGAAAGATCCATTTCTAGACCCCTGACATTCACTGCCAAACCACCAACATTTTCTCCTCCCGCTCCCCTTCTTTGGTGAATGGATTTCAGCAGGTCTTACCGCATTGGTTTCAGCAGTCCAATTGTCAGCGCTGAGCGGTCCCCGAGGAACACAGAGACAAGGCAGAGCTGATGGATGTGTTACTGATCAGGGCAACACCTGTGCAGGGAGGCACGTGCCTTACCCTCAACTTTCCCTTTAAGAAAGGAATAATTCTAAGCAAGGAGTTTCTACATGCTGCTGAAGTTGAAGGGGAAGGAAATTAACATGCTGATTTCCCTAATTCAAATTTTCAATTGCAAAATTGCACATTTATAATCCAACATTGTTGGGTTTTTTAAGATTATTGTTTAAAAAGTATCTTCTTACATTTTAGGATACTGATGAATTTAGTGTGTTTAGGTAGTGAGAGGGGAGAGTTATAAGTTGTCGAGTTTGCCATTATTACCTTAGAGTTTATCACCTTTTAATTCTGTTGTGTTTTTTAAGCATCCTCCCCCAAAATCATTTTTTAAACAAAATTTCAGTTCTGAACTCCCAAAACTCGTGAATATATGTATCATGTTGTTTCAGTTCATGAAGCCATCAATCATCCAGAGATTCCCAGAATGTTTTAACAAGCGCTTTCTCTTCCGAGGGAACACTGGGGATTGTAGCTCTGGGAGTGGAACAACTCTCGGTACCCTTAACAAACTACACTTCCCAGGATTCTTCGGAGGAAGCCATGGTTGTTTAAAGTGGTGCCATAGTGCTTTAAATGTATGGTGTGAATTTGACCTTTGGCTAATAATGCCCAGGAATGACCCGCCCCCCTTCAAATAGGCTGGCCCTATTTGGAATTGGATGAGGGCCAAACTTGCTATTGCCCTAAACTCATTAATTTCAAACCATGTCAATGTTGTTTTTAATAGAAGCAGGAGGTTACTTTGGTCACATGGGGAAGGGAGGCTTTTTTTAAAAAAATCTAATGTGGCTTAAATTTTGCTTTTGGATTGATGCTGTTTTGAGGGAAAGTACATCAAAGAAACTACAGCATATACGTGGATTGTGGCTAACGGCTTCAAACACCAGCAGTGGGAGTGCACTACAACCAGGGTAAATGATAATGTGTACACAACCTATGCCTGAATTCTGCCTTTGAGTCCTCAAGTCAAGTACCTGATAAACCTTGATGGGGTTTTCAAGCTTTCAGTTTGCTCAAACAGTCCAATTGAATACTCAGTATCCATCATCTTCCCCAAAGGGAAAAAGAAGTCTTCTTTTGAATTTCCACAGACCCTCCAAGTGCCCCTATTTTCCAGGGACAGTCCTGGATTTACAGAAGCAGCCCCAGTTTCTGGTTTGATGCCAAAATGTCCCACTTTTCTTTAGGACATTCCTATTTTCACTGGAGAGATGTTGAAGGTTACAAAGTTATGTGAACCACACACCCCTCAAGCCAAAGAGATAAGTAACTATACAACTTTTAAAAGGCGTCTGAAGGCAGACCTGTATGGGGAAGTTTCTAATGTTTGATGTTTTATTATGTTCGTATATATGTTGGAAGTGGCTGGGGCAACCCAGTGAGATGGGTGAGGTATAAATAATAACATTATTGTTATTTATCATGAAATTGCAGAGTTGGAAGTGACCTCCTCCTATTTTCATTGGAGAAATGTTGGAGGATATGCTTCCAGTGTTAAAAGGACCTTCCCCAACTCTTACCCTGCTGCTCCCCTCATGGTACTATTTGTGGGGGGGGGGTGACAGGTAGGGAGGGGAGAGGCCAAGTGTGAACCACATTCTGAGGCATATCCAACTCCCAATAGGGCCAACCTATTTAAAGGTAGCTCATACTTTGAGCTTCCACCATTCAAAGTCTCATCCCAAAGTTCCTGCTTCCATGTTGGAAATGTCACATATGAGTAAGACAGCCCTTTTGGATTAAAACTGGTCAACCATTGGCCAAGGAGTGGGTACCCATTGAGTGCTGAGTTGACAAGTGGGTGGGGCTCAGATTCTGTGTTCCATCACTTGCCTTTCTGCATGTTCATACTGAAGACTTGATGTGAGCTGGACTTCTACCTGCCTGTACACTCCCTGCGGTTACCTGACCAATCAGGGCTCCCTGACAGGAGTACCTATATAACAAATTAACTTGTGGGCAGCCATGTCAGTCCACTAGAAAAAATTCAAACAGCAGCAGTATCATCATACTTTTATTAGGACTAGCTAAGAAGTCACAAAGAAGTGTACAAACTTTTGTGTTCATCATAATTCTTCTTGTGCATACATGTTAAGCAAAATAATTTAAAACGAGGAGGGAAGATTTATTTAGGCAATATGTAGTTGTTGTAGTTGGGGGCATACAGGGGACATACGTCATACAGATTTGATTATGTTAGACGGTGCCTGATATGGATTCTAGTTTCTGTGAATTGCCACACAGAGTACGTACATCTAAATTATCTAGCCTTCTGTACTCAGACGATGAGCCTTGCAGGCCTGAAGTAGTAAGATCTCAGATGCAGAAGGGCATGCTGGGGTGAAAGAGGTCTTAAAACACTTTAATAAAAACCAACAATTATTCTAATCTGTTTCTAGCAGTGTTTCTGGTTGTTGTTGTTTAGTCGTTTAGTCATGTCCGACTCTTCGTGACCCCATGGACCAGAGCATGCCAGGCACTCCTGTCTTCCACCGCCTCCCACAGTTTGGTCAGGCTCATGTTTGTAGCTTCGAGTGTTTCTGGTAGAGTCCATTATAAGGTATAAATAAATACAATGGATATGCATTTTAGATGGGCACTTAAATTCCCAGCACCCATCTAAAATTAATCACTAGCTTTGCTAATGTAAAGGACCATCACCATTGGCATCCAGTTGCCCACTGTGAGAAATGGGATGCTGGGCTAGAAAGGTGTTTTGTCTGATCCTGCAAGACTCTTTTTATTTCGGGTTTTTAGTTGGTCTTAATAAATACATTTGGTTATTGTTGCTGCTTGCACCATAAATGTGTTTACAAATGTATTTGTCCTCTAGAATTTAGATAATTTGAGGAGCGCACAAAATATTTTAAATGTACCCATCGGGGCGTGGAGGGAGGACAGTAGTGAGTGAAGATTTGCAATATGGTGATTATTCCATTAGAACAACAGAACTTCATCACAGCACAGAAATTGATGGGACAAAGAAATTTGCTGATATTTCTAGGAATGCATTCTATGTGCATTAGTGATGAGAAATTAGCTGAATGCTGGAACATAATTGGCATCAACACCAGTGCTTTTTTTTTTTCAGGGGGTACTCAAGGGTACGCAATACCAACACCTCTTTTTTGTTGTTAAAAAGTGTGGCACTTACTGTAACAACTTCATGGTGAGTACTGGCACCTTTTTTTTTTAATAGAAAAAAGCACTGCTCATCACCTTTTGATTCCATCCCAATAGTCTATTTTAAAATTTTCCATCATCTCTTTCTTTCTCTCTCTATACAGTGGTACCTCGGGTTAAGTACTTAATTTGTTCCAGAGGTCCGTTCTTAACCTGAAACTGTTCTTAACCTGAAGCACCACTTTAGCTAATGGGGCCTCCCACTGCCGCCACGCCGCCAGAGCACGATTTCTGTTCTCATCCTGAAGCAAAGTTCTTAACCCGAGGTACTATTTCTGGGTTAGCGGAGTCTGTAACCTGAAGTGTATGTATCCTGAAACGTATGTAACCCGAGGTACCACTGTATGTTGTGTAATTGTGTCTTTCTTCCTTGCAAATGAGCTGCTGGGTATGTTATATATCTTTTTTTTAAAAAAAGAAAGAAAGAAAGAAATAGAAAAGTTCACACAAATGGAATCCACATCACTAACTACTGTAGGTGATCCAGATCTCTTTATACAAAGTGGGGAACACATATCGGGGATATAAAATAGTCAGGGAAGATGTCTACTTAATGTTGGATAAGGTTGGCAGGCAGTGGATGGTGGTGGAGGCAATGGAAATGAGGTACCTGAGCAACTGGTCGATTTGTGGATGCCTTCTGCTTTCAAACTTTAAAAATGCTATCTGTGATAAACGGAAAGAGGAAGAGAGTTGCGAAACATTTCCCCAAAGGTCATTCGCAGCAGTAAGGGACATTGTGGTAAAATTAGTACCTCTTTTATGAGGTACTAACTGCAGTGTGAAATATAGAGCATGAATCAAGACAGGGCACCACTGTCTTAAATGCAGGCCGCATAGCTTACTATGACTATTTACTGGAAAAAACATTTTGTTGTAAGGAATCTTTAAAAGAAGTAGGGAGAGGAACAGTAGAACCAGTATCTTGAGAAAAGTGCGTTCAACTGAGTTTTGCTCTTAGGCCTTTTCCTTCTTTCTTTAAAAGGCCTTTTCCTTCTTTCTTTAAAAGAAGTTATGCATATCACTGAAATCAGCAAGACTTAAGTGAAACCATGACTTAATTTTCCACATTGATTTCAATGGGGCCTGAGTGCAACTAAGTTAGTCTGGATCCAACCCAGTATTTCAACAATCCCTACAGCAGCCCGTCAAAGATAGACTAGTACTGTATTAGATTCCTATATTGCAGACACTAAAAGCTTTCTTAAGGACACCTAGTGGACTCAGGTGAAATGTGAACCTGGCTGGCAGCCTATAACTTTTGCCACTGTACACTCAGGGCTCATCCACATTTCCGCTTCCCTGCGATGTTCCCTGGGGAAAACCCACTGTTTACTGCTGAATCGGAACAAACATCAATCGGGTTTTCTCTGGATTGACGTTTGCTCCAATTCAGTGCTAAAGAGCAGCTTTTCCTCAGGAAAGCAGTGGTACAAAACCACTCAGAGCTGTGCCTAGAAAACATGGGACAAGCGGGAAGCCGCTAGGACCCATCCTTTCCAATGTGCAGGATGAGTAGAAGTGTGAATGAGCCCTCAGAGAAAAGTGACTCTCAATTCAGAGCATGAAAACTATACAGATAATGAAATTAAAAATACCACGTATACATGATAAAGGTTTATGTATGGTTGCACTATGAAAGTTTGAAACTGTAAATGTCCTTAAAAGCTTTTAACACTCCTCACATCCAAGGAATGCCAAGCCTTTCCCAAATGATGTGACGAAGATGGGCAGAAGGTGGGCAATATCAGCTTCTGCAGCCTGTGGAAAAATGAGTTTACCTTTGGGGATATATGATGAGTCTGTTCTTAGCACAAGGATGCTTAGCCACTAAGAGTGCCAGAAAATCAGACACACGGCATACAGAATACACATTTTGTCTCCTCCTGAAATCTGAATGTCCAGTGTTACGTTCCTTGGGGAATGTTGTGAAATAACCCAGCCAAGAGCACGTAACATTTGAATTCCTGCAAGTATCTTTGTATTCGGATGAGTTGCTTAGTGCTTTTCTCTCCCCAGCCTCATAAACCGGATTCCTGCTCTGCTTTATTGCGCTAGGGGTCTTTGGCCGCCACTTCTGCTCGCCATGGCCGGTCAAGGTAGCTGAGTACCCGGCGGATGGGACCGCGCTTTGTGGGCTCCAGAGCCAGGAGGCTCCGCAACATGGCGACGGCATCTGGCGACAGAGGGCGCCAGTGATATGGCAAGTCTTCGTCTAGGCCGGACTGTTGCCATATCACAAAGTCATCAAAGAAGGAATCCTCAGGCAACGTCTTCTCCCAAGGGAAGTAGCCGGTGAGCAGGCAGAAGATCAGCACTCCAAGGGCCCAGGCATCCAGGCTGGCATCAATGGGCAGGCCTGGGGAGTCGCCAGTGCCACGGCTCAGCTCAGGTGCAGTGTAAGGGATGATCCCAACCACCAGGCGCAGAAGGGTGCCCTGGGGCCGCGTCAAGCCGAAATCTGTCAGTTTGATGCAGTGGCAATGGCGATCGAAAAGGAGGATGTTCTCAGGCTTGACATCTCGATAGACAAGGCCCCGGCTGTGGATGAAGTCCAGTGCACTCACCAGCTGTTTGGCACAGAGCTTGGCTGCTGGCTCAGGGATGCCAGCCTGGTCAGAGAAGAGAAAGGCATGTGTTTTTATCATGTCGGGTCTCCTCACTTCCTCATAAGCGTTTAGGCTCTGCCACTGAAACACAAGCCCTTTTCTGCTCTTGAATAAAGCCACAAAATCTCAACAGGCATTTAAAAATAAACATCACATTTCCTTTCTCTCTGTGATGCCACCATGACCGCATCAACCCATGTTAAAATATCTCGAGACACATTCAGCTGCAAGCTTCAAAAGGCTTTGCCCCACTGCTTTTGTTTAATCTATGGATTTTTTGTTTTGAAATCCTGCTGTAATTTGTTTAACTAACAGCCATTTCACGATTTCAGAAATAAAACCACGTATGTGTTGGTAGAATTCCTAGCTGAAGCCAATTATTCATTCCTCCATTATACAGTCATACATTGGAAGTCGAACAGAATCTGTTCCAGAAGTCTGTTCAACTTCCAAAAACATTCAGAAGCTCCTGCAGCCAATTGGAAGCCGCGGAAGCCCCATCAGACATTCGGGTTCCAAAGAACATTCGCAAACCAGAACACTCACTTCTGGGTTTACGACATTTGGGAGCCAAAACATCCGAGTACCAAGGCATTCGGATCCAAAGTATGACTGTATTTTTATCCTGCCCTTCCTTCCCAAGGAGACCCAGGCATGGGGTGCTGGGAGCTAAGCTTTGCATTGGATGTGCGTGTATACGCCTTACCTTGGGCTTGATGATGGAGATGAGGTCCTTGTGCAAGGCTGCCTCATAGAGAAAACCATAGTGCTGGCTGGACTCTATGGCGATGCCAAACATTCCAACGATGGCAGGGTGTGTGGAGAGTGAGAGGGCCACACAGTATTCATACAAGAAATTCTCCAGTTTAGTGCTCGCCTTTGGCAGCAACTTGAGAGCCATGGGGGTCCCTGAGGGAGGTTGAAAGATGCAAAAGTGAATGAGACATTGAGATAATACTACTCTAATAACAGTAAATGTATTTCCACAACAGACAACTAAAACATAGTGTTACTCCAATTGCTGTTGGATAGTGGGAGGAGAGGGATTACATCTATCAATTAAATCAAGTAAGGTGAAGTCTCTTTAACATAACATGAGGGACGCGGGTGGCGCTGTGGGTAAAACCTCAGCGCCTAGGACTTGCCGATCGCATGGTCGGCGGTTCGAATCCCCACGGCGGGGTGCGCTCCCGTTGCTCGGTCCCAGTGCCTGCCAACCTAGCAGTTCGAAAGCACCCCCGGGTGCAAGTAGATAAATAGGGACCGCTTACTAGCGGGAAGGTAAACGGCATTTCCGTGTGTGCTGCGCTGGCTCGCCAGAGCAGCTTTGTCATGCTGGCCACGTGACCCGGAAGTGTCTGCGGACAGCGCTGGCTCCCGGCCTCTAGAGTGAGATGAGCACACAACCCTAGAGTCTGTCAAGACTGGCCCGTACGGGCAGGGGTACCTTTACCTTTACCTTTAAGGTGAAGTCTCTTTAACATACAGCACTCATACATATGAGATAATTAAGATACGAGTTCAACCATTATAGCTAAACATGGATTAGAAGAGGGGGAATTGCAGTAGCAACAAAATGAGGGGGCAGTGAGGATATGAGGGTGTTCCCTTTCAAACACTTGAACAAGACTTGGATTTAGAAAGCAGGGATTTGCAGCAGCTCATCCTATCTATCTAGAGCCTGATGAGCTGCACCCAATCATACTAAAAGAGCTTGCGGGTGTAATCCTCTGTCTATAATCTCTGAGAATTCTTGGAGAACATCAGGGAAAACTTTCTGACAGTAAGCGCTGCTGGACAGTGGAATAGACTGCCTCGGAAGGTAATGGACTCTCCTTCATTGGCGGTTATTAAGCAGAGGTTGGATGGCCAACTGTCATGGATGCTTTAGATAAAATTCCTGCATTGAAGGGGGTTCTTAGCCCCATTGACCTGGGAGTAAGTCCCATTTGATGTGGGTTAAACCACAGAGCCTAGGACTTGCCGATCAGAAGGTCGGCAGTTTGAATCCCCACGATGGGGTGAGCTCCTGTTGCTCGGTCCGTGCTCCTGCCAACCTAGCAGTTCGAAAGCACCTCAAAGTGCAAGTAGATAAATAGGTACTGCTCCAGCAGGAAGGTAAACAGTGTTTCCATGCGCTGCTCTGGTTCACCAGAAGCGGCTTAGTCATCCTGGCCACATGACCCGGAAGCTGTACGCCGGCTTCCTCGGCCAATAAAGCAAGATGAGTGCCGCAACCCCAGAGTCGGTCACGATTGGACATAATGGTCAGGGGTCCTTTTACCTTTACCTAACTTTCTTATGAATAGACGCGGGTAGGATTATGCTGTTAATTCTGAATTTCAAAATTGGGAAGAATCAGTCCCATTCATGCTTTTTGGGGTGCATAAATCTTTTAGGCGCAAGACAAGTTGTAAGGACTACATTCACAATGATATTTTCATTAAAATGGGCTTCAGTGAAACCACTAAGGACTGGGTCAAGAATGTTACTTGATATGTGGGGTTTGTTTGAAATTGTTTGGGCACTCTTTCTACAGTCACGAGATGAAAGGTGAATGCCTCCACAGGCAATGATAAGTTGTTTCGCACCAAATGCCCACAGTAGAGGTCTTGTCACCCACTTGGGGACCTTCAGGTGACAAGTGATTCATAAGTTTAATAAATGAATGAAACGAGTGACTGAATAGAGTGGGGTTTTTTAAAAAAAATGCCCAGTTCTGTCCATGACCACTGCTGTGCATGATTGGCTGACCACAGATCACACATAGTAATTTGAAATTGTTACCACACCCATTGGTTATGGCAAGTGGTCCAACCTTCTCCAACAGCAACAGTGGCACACCTGGCCACTGAAGTATTCTCATCCCTAGTTGCCCTTTCAACATAAACAGCCTGTTGGTGAGTGGAGTTGCCAGAGCACACAAGGCAATCCACCCTTACCTCTCTTCCTGTGAGTCACCAGCACCACCTGCCCATATTTCCCCTTGCCCAACTCCTTGATGATGTGGTAGTGCTCAGACACCTCCATGTGCACCAAACTCTGGGCCGTGATTTCCAACATGTCTTCTAGGAGAGCCTGGGCCTCCATGCCTGAGGACAGGTCCATGACCAAGCTGCAAGAAACACAGGAAGAAATTGCTAAGTACAGCTTGAAATGAATTGCGTTGGGCAGGGGAGGACAGCAGAAAGCCAGTTCTCTACATATATACAAATATATAACATTTCAATTCTCCTAAGTCAAAAGTAATTGAAAACAATCAAACAGCACAAGAAATCCAAATGTAGCAAACAAAATTAGTCCTAACCAAGGTGATTTGGTTTTTTTAAGGCACCCTAGTCAGAAGAGTACAAATAAAAAAATTGTTGTTGTTTTTGTTACTCAAAATATCTCTTCACATGGTCCAAGCAGCAGGGCCAGCCCACCCATGAGGCAAAGTGAGGTGACCACCTCAGGCAGCAGGATCCACAGGAGCAGCAGATCCTGATGTAGATCTTTATTCCCCACTTGTTCCTGTTGCAGATCTTCACTCACTCCTTCTTTCCTGGTGGGGAGGGAGAGAGCATCTAATGGCACTCCTATGGAGGTATGGTCACTCATATTGCCCAAACTTTTTTTTTACTTTTTGCTGGGTTCTCAAAAATTCCTTGTTTTTCCAAGGACTAGTTTCTCCTGCACTTAATGTCCCAGGAGTTTGTTTCAGATTTCAAGAAGCTTGGTAATGGTTCCCTACCATGCAGATGTGCCCTCACCACCCACCAATCTCTCTTCTTTTTTTATATAAAATATTTATTGAAATTTTCAAAATATTACAAAAGAAAAATAGAAAAAAGAAAAATACAAAATAAAAATAGTTAAAAACAACTCAATCTTTCCATTACTTATTTTTCATTAGCTTATTTCCCGGACCTCCTCACGCCTCCCTTTTTTGTATTCCAGTTCGGTTTGTTGGTTCAGCAAATCCTTCCCCTCTTTGTTTATCCAAATCTTAAATCTTAAAATATTGTAACGTTAAATTTTTACCTGTTAGTAATCCATTTTTCATATTCCCTTATAGTATTACAGCTAGAAACCACTTACTTTCTATCCAACATCATTCTAACATTCATTAATTTTACAATATTTCTGTAAATAGGCTTTAAATTTCTTCCAATCTTCTTCCACCGACTCTTCTCCCTGGTCTCGGATTCTGCCAGTCATTTCCGCCAGTTCCATATAGTCCATCACCTTCATCTGCCATTCTTCCAAAGTGGGTAGATCTTGTGTCTTCCAATACTTTGCAATGAGTATTCTTGCTGCTGTTGTAGCATACATAAAAAAAGTTCTGTCCTTCTTTGGCACCAATTGGCCGACAATGCCCAGAACAGGGAAGGAAGTCATTTACCTCCCCTCTTTCCCCTCAACATATGGTGATGATGCATTCTCCTCACTATTTGGTGTCTCTTGGGCCAAGGCAATAAACAGAGCCATCCTATAGCTGCAAAAGGTCTCTAGGATGAGCCTTTGCTTTTCTTTGCTTCCCCCGCAGCTCCCCAGGGTGTTCAGATACCCTGGAAACCTCTCAGTGACCTTGAAACAGAAGAACACACATGCCTGGCACTCTTTATACACCATGAAAAGTATGAATTGGTCCAGATGGCCTTGGGGCAACCAAAATTCATCCAAAATTTGACTTCCCTGCCCCTGTCCCCCAACGTCCACATCTGAATGTTGCACATTATGAATTCCCAGTTCCATCCCACGTCTCCAGGGTCCAGTTGGGTTTTTTTAAGCATGCTTTAGTTCTCCACTTAGATGATATTTCTGGGCTGAATTCTTTCAAAAGGAATTACCTCTCAGAAGGAAAAGTAGAAAGAAGTCCTTTCAGTTGAAGGTGGTGTCAATCTTAGAATTCATTCAGAAAACATCATCTTGAAAGGGCATCCTTCCTCTTCTCTTTCACACAGGAGGAGCCACCTCTTTCAAGAAGTCATCTGCACTTAAGTACTTACATTTTTAAAAAAAAAAAAGTTTGTAAAATCTACTGCCTGAGTAATTCAGGACACCTTTTCATCAGTCAAAACTTTTTGATGGATTAATCTATTTGACTAGGCATTCTAGCCCTAACTGAAGGTAAATTCATTCACACATCCACATTGATGTGGCAGGCATGTGAGCTGAGTGGATTTGGACTGTTATTATTATGATGCTGAAGTAGTTATGCAGTTATGAGACCAGCAACATATCACACAATCTGTTTGAATGCACAGCGCAACCACTCAATCCAATTTCAGCAGTTTTGAGGGAAAATAGTAAATGTGGATTAAGTTGCAATGCGTTCCTCTTTATTGGTAGCTTAAAATGTGCCTCTAGCTCCATGCCTTTGCTCATTTAGGACACCAGGAAGCAATTTTAGGCTTGCCAAACAGCCAGACTTTTAAAGTCCTCCTGACTAGTTGCCAGAACAGGAGCATATAGAACCAGGGGAAATAATGTCAATCCAAGTTACTTATAAACACCTCCTAATATAATTCATTCTGTGTTGTTGTTGTTGTTGTTGTTGTTTTGTGTGTGTGTGTGTGTGAGAGAGAGAGAGAGAGAGAGAGAGGATTTATAGTTTTCACACAGATAAATAAAACCATATGTGTGTGTCATCATGCTCATCCACTAAATAGGAATGCATGTGATCATCCCATAAGAAACAGCTGCCATTGTTTTTCACAGTGCAGTGTTTGGATATGGATTCTAGTTTCTGTGAATTGCCACACAGAGTACATCTAAACTAGCTAGCCTTCTGTACGCAGACTAAGAGCCTTGCGGTCTTCGTCTGCTCTTAGCTCAGGGCAGTCCAGCCTCTCAGACGAAGACGTTGCAAGAGCACTTCAGCACAGAACCTGCAGGCCACACACTGAATTAAATTTCGATATTGTTAATTAAAGTGTTTGCAATATAGTTTATATTATTTAATATACACAGATATGTTTATATATATATTGTATATAAATTAAGCACACAATTAATAGATTTAATATAATTATTTATCAATGAAATTTAATACAGAAACTCAAGGCGAGTCTCTGGCAGATAGATAGATGCACAACAGGAGCCCAAGTTTGCTCTTCCTCTCCAGGCAGGTTTTTCCACACAGCCAATGTCTACCTACCCCGATTGCCCCAAACATCCACTGCTCCTCCCCACCTGGGGCTGCCAAAAAAAGAGAGGTATTAGAGCTCCCTCAGCTGAGCCAATCCAGCATCTGTGATGGAAGTCAAGCAAAGGTACTCTGTATATGCGTAGATGCAACTCTAACCCTAGAAAGGGCATATACTGTATCCTTTGCCCTCTTAATCCTAACATGTCAACTGTGGGAAGTCTTGCATGTAGATGTATTGTAACAGCTTGTTGTTTCCATCTATGTAGTCTACATTATGAGTGGGCCAGGCCAAACACGCTGAAACAGTTGCATCTACAGCAGATTGGATGCACTGCCTCTGTAGTATTCCTGGGATTCTTTGAGCCACAATTTTTGATTCTAGTCCCTTCCCCCTCTCCCACTCCATATGCACATATTCCAAATTTAGCAAGGCGTTAGCTAAAGTGTATCAATCTCCCTAACTAATTCCACTTATAAAACATTGTCCCGGTTGCAGAACTGTGTAGAACTCTAGAATGCTGGAAGGCAGAATGGAAAATCTCTTTGATGGTGACTTCTTTCTACACACTCTTTTTGCGGTCCAGTTCTAGCGGGTGAGCAGACTGGCTCTATGTCATGTTCTAAATTACATTTCTGGTGCCCCACGGAAGATGGACACAGTCGCCTGCAGCCCCCTTTGCTTAGCTGCTGCCAGAGTGCCTGCCTTCTGATTCCATGCCAAGCGTCCTCTCTTACAGGCTAGGAAAGTTCATGCGGATTTGGGCCTAAATGGGATTGACACGCTCTTAAAGCCACTGGAGATCCGTTTCCAAGCTTCTAGAGGCAGAGGGAAAGGGCATGGCAAGGTCCAACCACCCTCTCCTTTTCCCCTCTCCTGCCTAGTCTGCTCCTAGAGATAAGCCCAGTAAACAGAGGCAAATGTGAAAGGGAGAGAGAAAGATGCTTAAATAAATAAATAAATAAATAAATAAGCAACATCGAGGCTCAAGGGTGCCTAGAAGTCTGGATGAGCTAGATGAGTGGTGTAGAGTCTGGTTTTGGTTATTCAGTGGTGGGAGCAGTACATGCTCATAGGGCGTCTTGCTTTTATTAGCCCTAGCAAATGAAAAGGCACCACATCCATTTTATGACCCCTCTGATGCGATACCCTTCTGGTTTCTCTCACGCATAGGGACAATTTCACACAAATAGATCACTGTGTGAAAAATAAAATAAAAACGCCGTACAAACGCCGTTTGTGGGCTTTCCCACCTCAAATGATTTTAAGCCCAAAGTAAAAACACAGGGCTGTGCACTTTTCCCTCCTCTCCCCTGCAGCCCTCGCACACCCCACTTGCTCAGCATTGGATTATTATTATTATTTACAATAGTAAATAAAAGCACAGTGTGTTTTTATTGCTACTAACTATAAATCTCCTCTCCCTTAAGCTTCAGTGTGAAGTGAAGGAAGTCTCATCTCCCATTGCGGCTGTATCTCTTCCAAATGAGTGGCAGAGACACCAACCAAGACTTCACAGAATACTCTCCAGTTACAGGCAAAGCAACAAATATTTGGCCTGCCCATTCGCGGCTGCTGCTGCATGCCACTTGGCTGTGATCGATCATGTGGGCTTGGACACTTGCAAGGAACCCAATCTGCCTCTCAGGACAAACCTTGCACGCAAAGCAGGGTTGAAGGGGAGGCGGTTGCCCTGGTAACCAAGCAAATCTGAGGCCTGTTTCACTCAGGTACCATTCGTTTGCACAGGGCAAAAGAGACCATTTTTCACTAGTCAAAAGAGGAAAACTTTTCATTAAGTCCCCTCTTCCTCTCCTTCATTCGCTCTACCTATAGGTGCAGCCCACAGATAAACCTTGCTGCTACCCCACTACTAATAAAGGTGGACCCAACTGGCCTGTTGATGCTTTGCCACAATTTCTGTGAAATTCTGCTTCCTTGTTTAAAGGGCATGTGAGTTCTATGGTGAATTTTCTACTCATGCAAGTGAACAGAGTCTGTCTCTGACCCTAAGAAAGGTCAGAGAGATTCAGAAGATAAGGCCATTCTTCCATTTTTGAAGGAGACAACTCCTCTCACGTTTGTGCTTTTTGCTTCCCCTCCTGCTTTGAAATCTGACCTCCAAACCTTGCTTTGGATGGCCATATGATCTACTCTACAGAGGTCAATTCTTTCTTGGAAGGACAGCTCTCTATATGAAGGTGTGTTTCTGCAGTTTGAATGGCCATTTGGTTTAAAGATGAAGAAATATAAGAAGGAAAACCAAGTGCCTTGAAGCTGCCCATCAACGGTTAGCAACGCCTGGGAGCAGACTGAGCAAGTGCATAGGCCGCCTGTCCACAGCCTCACTCCATACAGGGAGATGTATTTTGAAATTATAGAAAACATTTTCTAAATTTGCATCAATACATATAAATTAATGTATCTTTTATGCAATTCTTTTTTGGTGATTTCCTTTCTTTTTTGCAATGCAAATTGGCTACCCTGCCTTGCCTTCATTCTCATTAGTTCCTCCTTGATTCTAACGAAATACTAGCAGTTAAGGAATAACTATTCAGGAGGAGCTAAGCTTACTAGGTGAGAACAATCGGTTTTAGAAAACAACTCCTTTACAAGCTCAAACTCCTTGTGAAATACTCACTACATTCTTTATTTAAAGCACTGCTTATGCCCAAAGGAAGAAAATTACAAGTAAATAGGTATCCCTCTTTCCTGTTGTAATTTCTAAAGGGCAAAGGTATTCTGTTTATCTGTGCAAGTTTAGACCAGGGCTTGTGAAGTTGCCACTGAGCGAAGAGCATTTTGACATTTGAGGCAAACAGAAAATGGCATGCACCCACCACCATCACCTTGTCCTCTGCCCCACTGCTGCCACCTGTAAGGACTAGTAAGTGTCTAGTCCTTAATGTTCTGGGTAGGCTTGCAGATAGCTGGTGAAATTTCAGAAACAAGGGTAAGGGCTGAGCAGGATTCCCAGGGTTTCAGAGATTCAGTGCCTTGCATAGCTTCCCCCTTTCACCATGTTGGTGAGGAAGTTAATGAAAAATAAGAATAGATCTGCATACATTTATTTTATTTTATATAGAAGTTGACTAATTTGTTTTTTGCGCGGAATTTAGTTGTGTGTTGTTTATAAAAAAACAATGTTGGAATGTGCAGAGACCTTGTTTAGTGGTTCAGTTAAACGCAGAGAACAATCACAGAAGGCTTTTAAGCCATAGCTGTCAATGTTTCCCTTTTTTTAAGGGAAATTCCCTTATTCCGAATAGGATTCCTCACAAGAAAAGGGAAAAGTTGACAGCTATGTTTTAAGCACACATTCTCCCCATAGCAGTTAAAACTGCGTGCAGGCCAGTTCATACAACCATCATGTCTGGTAACATTTTTTGTGCTTTTTACTGATGCACAGGATAGGAGCTGTCAGTTTTCTACACTGCTGCAAACTGTAGCAGCAGGAGTGTGTTGTCGACAGCAGCCTGGTACTTTCCGCTCACAATGAAGGACTCTGGCCATCTGCTTACTGTGGACAAGAAGCTGCTGTGGGTTCAAGCAGGGAAAAGGCATCACCATAAGCATAGCAGTAGTTCTGAATTGTCTCTGTTATTTTGGAGGGCCTCAGCTCAGTGAAAGTGTTTTTTTGTCTGTGCAGGATCTCCAGTTAAAGCTTGGGAAGTAGGGCAAGGAATTATATCTGCCTGAGATCTTAATAAAATGTTACCAGTTGTAGTAGATAATATTGGGCTACAGAGGCCCAATGGTCTGAAAGCATATAAGACAGCTACATGTGTTCAGTGCACAGACCTAGCTGATTAGAGTAGTCAGAACACTGTGCAAACACAGACCCTGTTTTGGTTGGATGCACAATCTTCCCGACAGGACTGAGCTAATGAGAAAATTTGCTACTGTATATTGGTTAACCAACACAAACCAGATGTGTTCCATGCTAATTGACTGACCCTTGTACATCACAAAGCCACACACACTCCCCTAGGGCTTTTTCTTTTCTTTTCTTCCTTTTTAGAAGCTGTTTTTTCAGGTGCTGGAAAATTTGAATAGGAAGCTTCCAAGACACTTTTAATAAAATGGAATGCAGCCTACCTGAAACAGGAATAAATAAGTGATCCCTGCAGAGGCGGTTTTAGGGTAGCATGACTGGTTTGGTCGCTCTGGGCACCGTGCAACAGGGGGCGCTGCAATAATGATGTAGAACGGAGCGTGCGAGGTGGGGGGAGTGAACTTTAGCGTCGCACAGGGCGCCGCTGAAATGTGAGAACCCAAAGTCTGCCACTGATCACTGCTGGATATGAAGGCAAGTATAAGTTTCCTTTGAAAAACAAAGATTGAGAGGGACCACAGGGCACGGGGGGGGTGCATTCACTCCTGTTGGTACATACACCTGTATATTACCATATTCTTACTGGGCATCATGGATCAGATAACTGCAAAGAAACCTTAATTGTGAGTATTGGATGAGAGAGAAAACCCCTCTGGGATTTATAGAGGTTTTTACTCAAATTCCCAATAACTTTGGCCAGTAAATGTAGTGTGGAACTAGACACAAGGGACACTGAGCTGCCCCTTTGTATTTTTTCTTCTCCCTTCCCGGGGACATGTACTATAACATAATGTGCAATGTGACATCAGTGTTCTGCACATTTCATCACCCCTGATACTGACAGCCACTTATGAGGTGGCAACATGAACATACACAGTACAAGACATAACTGGAAAGAGGTGGGAAAGAAGTATAGACCAGTAGCAGGCAAACAATGGACACTTTGCTAGAATTCCACATTGCACTAGCCCTTAACACCTGCCTCTTCCTGCACATTTCTGCTGCACTGCACTGCAATTCCTCACACATCAATCGCCCAGACAAAAACCAGGGACACTTTTTAGAATGAGCACTCTGTACTGATTAGTCAGTGTAGATAATTATTTCTTGCCCTTTATTCTGGCTTTGGCTTACACAGTTGGACTGTTCTCTTGCATTCCGTACCCGAGAACACCTTTGCAAACTGTCTGAATGCACTAGGGTAGCAAGCAGACCCATAGTTATTTGAATGGAAGCCACCTGTCAGATTGTTCCATCAGGACTCTGCTGTCTGCAGCCCAGGTAACGGAGCTGACACCAGGACCTAGTCCCCCACCCTGGCACCGCGGACTCCACCTGGTACTTACTTCCTGCTGTGCTGAAGGATCTCTGGAGTGCCCAGTCTCTCTCTCTCTCTCTCTCTCTCTCGCTCGCTTGCTTGCTTCTGCTGCTGTCTGGTGAAACTGTCCAGAGTGCAGCCGGGGTGTCTGCCAGGCATTACCGGGTCTAAGCGTGACGCTCCGCCTCTTCTCCTGTGCCACACACACCCTATGGAGCTGGAGTTTGAAGAGGGGGAGCGCAAGCGAGGGTGTCATCTATCTCTCTAGGACAGATGAAAGAGTTGAGCATACCAGGCAGGCTGCTCCACCCGGCAGCATTCAGCCCAGACCATGGCATCTGCCAGGATACCTAACCCGCAGCAAGAGTTTGGGCTCCTGTTTCTGGGGGATTCAATGGCCTTTCACCTCTCTCCCATGGTCCTCTGCCATTCCCCATAATCCTTTATGCTGCAGTTGTGATACAGTGACATCCTGTGTCCATGTCTCTTCACTGCATGGGGAGGGGGAGAGAGAGAGAGAAAGAGAGAGGAAGCAAGCAGACAAGCAGGGGGGACGGGGAAATCGTGGTCTCCCTCCTTTTGCACCCCCCCACGTGTCCATCTCCTCTCCACACTATTCATGCTAGCTGAAAAGTACAAGGGATCCTGCAAGAGTAAGCTGTGACAAATGTCTGTACCATGTTCTGAGGTTGCCAACAGCTGGCTACCTCTTAAAGGTGGTTTCCATGGAAATCAGGGTGGTGCAGCTTATGTAACATGTACAGCAAGCCCAGGCTTGTAAGAAAGCCTGGACCTCCCCAAAAGCCAATATTTCACTTAGGAAAATGAATTGTCTTCCACACTAGAGAGGAAAAATTAAGCAGCGAGTACTTTTTTTGCGTTCAGTACAATAGTTGGTAGTATGCAAAAGAGATGTATATCATTTTGAATTGTACAGAAAGAGTAAATAGGGAGAAGTAAGTCACACTCTCATAAGTGAGAGGTACCTAGTTCAATCGAGTTCTCTGTGTTAGCAGCCCTGCCTCTTGCTGCTTTACCAAAGATAGCTGTGAAGTATACTCTGTGCATATGCAAAAGCAGCCTCTTCTATTTTGTCGCTTTACATAATCCTGTGCTGTCCTGCTGTACAAAACAGGAACAGTATAGCTCGGATTAAGCTCTGCAGCCAAGAGAAATGAGGATTTCGATCACATGCTTCTGGCTGGCTGGCTGCAACAGAATAAGCCCTGAAAACAACATCTGCTGAATTCTGAAATTTCAGCAAGTGCTTTGCGCATTAATGGGACAGAACCTCAGTGGTTTGGGCAAAACGAGGGAACCCAGCATTGCTGAGGGTGCTTCACGTGCCTGTGCTTTCTCCATGCTGCGATGGCCAATGGATTTGCAATATGCAAAACAACTCAAAGGTTAAAAGTGATTAGTCTCTCCTTCACTTGATCATGATTCATGTGATTTGATTTAACAATGAGAGTCCAACAGAGGGATATGACTGGACTGTTAGAAGGTATTGTGACCTACCTGACCCATCCTATTGCAAGGATTCAGGGTAGACTTGTCAAAGTGATGCTGGCAGCAGCATTGGCAAATGGAGTGGGTAGAGATTTGACTTGGATCTCTTGAGCTTGCTGTTCAAGCTCCAACTTAGCATTTGGCTCTTAGTTGGGGCCAAGCTATGTGGTGAACTGTAGATGTAAGTAATGTTGGTTTAATGACCATTTCTGTCTTGAAAGGTGTCCTTAGAAATAAAGATAGTTGGATATTTTGAAAATTCATGGTGATCAATGATTGGGAAATTATTAATGTATCAGCATCTCTCATCTTCTTTAAATTTCAGGGCCTAGTTTCTTTATCTGACAGGAAACAAACAAAAACAGCTCAGTGAACCAAAATACAGTATAATGAAATCAGAAGACAGTTCACTTGTGATTCAGTTTAGCTACTGAGCAAATCAGTCTAATTGATTGGTTTTTTTTTAGCTTTAATGACATTCATTTACTGCAGCTGCACAGAATGTTCCTGATTAACAGCTCTTTAAAGGTAAAGGGACCCCTGACCGTTATGTCCAGTCGTGGATGACTCTGGTGTTGTGCGGTCATCTCGCTCTATAGGCCAAGGGAGCTGGTGTTTGTCCACAGACAGCTTCCGGGTCATGTGGCCAGCATGACTAAGCCGCTCCTGGCGAACCAGAGAGGTGCATGGAAATGCTGTTTACCTTCCCGCCAGAGTGGTACCTATTTATCTACTTGCACTTTGACGTGCTTTCGAACTGCTAGGTTGGCAGGAGCAGGGATCAAGCAATGGGAGCTCACCCCGTTGCAGGGATTCAAACTGCCGACCTTCTGATCGGCAAGTCCTAGGCTCTGTGGTTTAACCCACAATGCCACCCACCTCCCCAACAGCTCTTTAGGACAATGCATTGAACCTATTTGAATACATCACATATTCTGTTGTATGAGACAGTATGGAGCCAGCATGGTGTAGTGTCAGGGTAGGACTTGGAAAAGTCAGGTTCAGAACCATGAACTTCTTTTAGGGCTTATCTACACCTACCTTTTGCCCTGCTTTTTCTAGCCAGAGGTCCTCAGTTTAATGTTCCATACCCAAGCGGTGTTTTTTTCCTCTCTCTCTTTTTGTCCTGTGAAAACCCACTCTTTAAAGCCGAATTGGAGCAAACATCAATTCGGGTTTTCCACAGATTTACGTCTGCTTTCATTGAGCTTTAAAGAGCAGGTTTTAACAGGGAAAACTCTGGAGCAAGATTTTAAAAAGGGCTCAGACATGGTCCTTTAAATCATGGGTCATGCCTGGAAAGAGAGAAGGATAGCCCCTTGGTGACCATGAGCTAGTCCATGGATAGGCAAACTAAGGCCCGGGGGCCAGATCCGGCCCAATCGCCTTCTAAATCCGGCCTGCGAATTTTTACATGAGTAGAATGTGTCCTTTTATTTAAAACGTGTCTCTGGGTTATTTGTGGGGCATAGGAATTCGTTCTTCTTCTTTCTTTCTTTTCACAATATAGTCTGGCCCCCCACAAGGTCTGAGGGAAAGTGGACCGGGCCCCTGCTGAAAAAGTTTGCTGACCCCTGAGCTAGTCGCTATCTCTCAGCTTAGCCTACCACCCAGGGTTGCTAGGATGATAAATTGAGAGATAACCACAGTGGTACCTCGGGTTAAGTACTTAATTCATTCTGGAGGTCTGTTCTTAACCTGAAACTGTTCTTAACCTGAAGCACTACTTTAGCTAATGGGGCCTCCCGCTGCCACCGCACCATTACTGTTCTCATCCCAAAGCAAAGTTCTTAACCCAAGGTGCTACTTCTGGGTTAGCGGAGTCTGTAACCTGAAGCGTTTGTAACCCGAGGTACCACTATATATATATTATAAATAAACCCAGTTCATCTTATTTACTGTTGGAAGTGACATGCAATGTAGGGAAAGAATATTAGCTGTGAAGGTTGCCTGTGTTGAGTGTTTCAGATGAGTGGTAACTGGAATCACTAATAAGGAGATGGAAAATACATCCACCAGTCTATCTATAGCTCTTATTCTCTCTATAGCCTTGATAGTAAGGAGAAGGAAAAGATACCCACTAGTTTATCTATCTCTCTTATTCTTGCCTTGGCCTAGGCTCTTGATTATTTAGGATTTGGATGCACAGCTGATAATGTTAGCAACTAGGCCTTTTAGATATTCACTGCTCACCTTCCTCCCTCTCATTTGGCACTTCTAGCTATCCTGTCACTATTTCCTCAGTCTGGAGGCAGCTGGAAAGCAGCATTCTGACATCTTACACAATGTGCTGCCAGCACGCTCTGCATCTGCCCAAATGGCTGGAGGCAGATGGAAAATGTAAGATGAAAGTGCAACAATATGAAGATCAAAGATGAGATAATGACAAAATATCCCACTTTCTGTATACTATTCGTTTATACAGATGACTGGTATTTTTGAGTGGAATATGCATACCAGCAAATTCAGGTTGTTGCTATTGTTATGGATTGGGGGGGGCAAAACCCTAAAAATTGATAAATGGTAGGATTTTGATTATTTGGGATGTGAAGGGAGAAATACAAGCTGCAGAGGAATTCCCTTTGCAAAAAAAAAAAAAGCACATGGGCCTGGCTAAGCTAGGGCCATTAAGAAACAATATGGGGCCATTGAGAGGCATTGGAAATGCAAGAGAACTGTCTTTCCCCTTGCCCTGAGGTGTGAACAGAGACTGGGTGTTTAGAAGGTTGCCAGGGTAACTTGGTGTGAAAAAGAGAGTCTTTTAGCAAGGTGTTTAGGAAAGAAGAAGCAAGGAAAAAAGACTGGAATCCATCTTGGGCAGGTTGGCTGAAGGCTGGCTGTACTGCTGTGGGGGACAAACCCCTCTTGAAATGACCATGCTGTAAGATCTGGACTCCCTTCTTGCAAACTGAAGATGTAAATAGGTGAATAGACCATATTTCTTAAAACTACAACAGTCTATGCCATGTCTCAGTTCTCCAAAGGAACACAGACCCTGGGTGAGTACCTGGAACCCCATGGATTGTTGTTACCACTCGACAGAGAGAGGGTGAGGCACCCAAATTTCATAACACTATTATTTTTACTATTTTTACTGTTACCCTCCCTTCACCCTAAGGTCCCATGGAGGGTGGCAACATTAAAACATGATATTAGAATCAACTTAAAACAACTTACAGCCATAAAATGAAATGGGTCCTAAAAACATAACAAGTGTTAAAAGAGGTGCATCTTGAGCATTCTCTGAAAGCTGTATACATAAGTTACATAAAGTTGCTTAACTGAAGTGGATTTGTCATTCTTGTGCAACAAACTTGCTCCCTCCTATCAGACGTTTTGTGATAAGGAGAATGACGAGAAATGCACTGGAATCAGTGCTATTTTTCTAGGAAAAGAGGTGCCGGAACTCACTATGAACACCTCCCTTCTTTCTCTTATAATGGCAATGGCGTCCACCTGAGAGGTGCCGGAACTGAGTTCTGGTGAGTTCCAGCTGAAAAAAGCCCTGACTGGAATGCATGGGATAAAAAATGCTTGATGCCATGTCATATAACCTCCCTGAAAACAAGTCAGAATGAATGCTCAATAAGCAACCACTAAACTAACCTGCCTACAAACTGTGAGAACACACCAGAATGAATGCTCAATAA